CCAGGAAGACATAAAATGAAAGCAACGAAGTAAAAATCATTGGTACCGTGGAAGGGATCAGAATACGAAATTCTTCCACAGCCATGCGAATAAGCGTCGAGAAATAAACCACATTGAATTCCTAAAGGACAATTCCGGCCGTGATTGTTCTCTCAAAGAGGAGCTGGAAGGGATAATATCTGAATATTTCAGGGAGCTGTTTTCTTCATCCAATCCGCTGGACAACTACATTCGTAGGGCACTTAGCTGAGTGAGAGCGAAGGTGAGCCCGGAGAGGAATTCTAGGCTGCTGCAACCTTTTAACGGAGAGGAAGTCAAACAAGCACTCAAGCAAATGGCTTCATTCAAATCCCCAGGTCCAGATGGTATGTCCCCCATTTTCTTTCAAAAGTTTTGGCACATAGTCGGTAAAGATGTAGTTAAGTTGATTTTAAATTTTTTGCATAATAAACCTTTTGATCCTGTAATAAATCATACCTACATTGTCCTTCTCTCAAAAGTCAAAAAACCAGATTTTTTTTAACACAATTTAGACCTATCAATCTCTGTCTTCAAAAGTCATTGCAAATAGACTTTGCACGACCCTTTCCTCTGTAATTTCTGAGTCACAGTCGGTCTTCATCCCAGGGCAACTCATCAAAGATAACAGTCTCGTAGCTTACGAGTCACATCATTACATAAAGTCGAGAACGTCCGGAGATCTAGGGCTTATGTCCATTAAAGTTGATATGAGTAAGGCATTTGATAGGGTGGAGTGGCATTTTGTAGGTGAAATCATTAGAGCTCTAGGTTATGATCCCAACTTTGTAAGCTAATCATGCATTGCATCTCTACAGTTTCATTTTTTTTCCCGTTAAACGGGAGCCAATTTGGTGAACTTGTTCCGCATAGAGGAATAAGACAAGGAGACCCACTGTCACCTTACCTTTTCATTTTATGTTTTGAATTATTTTCTTGTATTTTAAGTGACCTTCAAGCTTGTGGGAGGCTTCATGGAGTTTCAGTCAGTCTATATGCTCCTTTTGTATCACATTTATTTTTTGCATATGACATACTCCTTTTTGGCCATGCCACAAAAACAGAAGCTGAAGCTTTCAAATTTGCCATTCGACTCTATGAGACGGTTTCTGGATAGAGAATAAATTTGGACAAGTCAGGAGTCTATTTCAGCCCAAATACGGATGATGATACAGCCGCGACCATCACTTCTCTCCTGGGTATCCCTAGAACTTGCAACCATGGAAAGTATCTTGGCCTTACATCGATCTCTGGTCGCAACAAGAAGGAGCTCTTTTGTAGCCTTAAAGATAGATAATGGAAATGGATTGAAGGTTGGAAGGAGAAGAATCTATCAAAAAGCGGCTAAGAGATTCTAATTAAGAGTGTAATACAAGCGATCCCGACTTACTCTATGTCCTGCTTCATGCTTCCGGAATCCATCATTCAGTCCATGGCTTCCTCTTACTAGTGGGGGGACAACGGAGCCCATAAGAAAGTTAAAAAGCTGGATCAGTTGGAAGAAGATGAGTAACTCTGGGAGGAATAGGTTTTTGAGACCTGCAGGCGTTCAACATGGCATTACTAAGTAAGCAGGCCTGGAGGATTCTCACTTGTCCCACGTCACTTCTTGCACAGATTTATAAAGCAAAGTACTTCCCACATAACTCTTTTTTGGAAGCAAACCTGGGAAGTCGACCCTCATTAACTTGGAAGGGCATAATGGAAGGCAAAAAGGTTCTACTACAGGGATGTCGCAAACAGATTAAGTCAGGCCAAAATACTTAGATATGGAAGGACAGATGGCTCCCATGTAATGCTGATTTTAGGTTCCATGGAGAAGTACAAATCTTGTCGCAGAGTGCAAAGGTAGCTGATCTCATCGATCATATTACTGGAGCATGGAGAGTCGAGTTGATCCAGCAAATTTTCAATGCCACTGAAGCCCAATGTATCCTGCAAATGGAAATAAGTCAAAATTCAGTCGTTGATCACTGGATTTGGCACCCGTCCAGAAATGGAAAATTTACGGTTAAGTCGGCATATGAGTCCATCAAGACTTGCCCGCCAGCAGATTCTGGCATTCACCCAAATGACAACTCTAGCTCTGGACCACACCCGATTTGGAAGAAAATATGGAAACTGAAACTGCCTCCACAAATCATTCACTTTCTATGGCGGTGCTTGACAGATTCTCTCCCCACCGTACAAAACTTGGAGAAACGAGGGCTTCATCACAAGAATTCAGGCTGTCCTCTCTGCCAATCGCCAGCGCCAGAAGCAATTCACATTTTCTTCCTGTGTCCGTTCGCCCAAGCAGTTTGGCAACTATTGAGAATAACTGATCTCATAAAAAGGCAGCCACAACCACGCTGTGAATGGTGCTTTCAAAATTTCCTTGTTGCAAATGACGAAAAAATAGCTGAATTTTTTGGAGCAACTTGCAATTCCATCTGGTATGCAAGAAATAGGAAGCTATTTGAAAACAAGTCAATCGATGCTTATTCTTTGGTAGTCAGTGTCGGCAACATGTTACATGATTACCAACAATCATGGGGATTGACAACTTCGGCTTCAGCATCCTTTCCAACTGTCATTTGTTGACCCCTCCTGCAGCAAGTGTCCGGGTCTTCTTTGATGGAGCTATCTCAAATATGAAAAATTGCTGTGGAGTCGGTGTTTGCGCTGCGAATTCTGATGGAAGTTTCATATTTGCTAGAGCTCATTGTTTTCCTGGCCACAGTGACTCAGAATTTGCTGAATTCTTAGCACGTAGGGAAGCTGTGAGTTTAATCTCTGAATTAGGGATTCCACAAGCTCAGATCCTTGGTGATTCAGCAGTAGCTATACTAGCAGCGTTATGTGAGGCGGATTGTGCTGCCATTTACTTCCCTACTTTGGCTGAGATTCAATACAAAATGGCAGCGATACCTTGTCGAAACCTATTTTGGATTAGGTGTCTGGATAACAGTGTAGCACACTTGTTAGCAACCTTTGCAAAATCAAATGTCAAGGATGTTATGTCTTGGTCTGCTCCGCCAAACTTTTTGTATCAATCAAGGGTTGGCTGATTTCCAGCAAGTTTAATGAATGTGCATTTTTTCTCCGGAAAAAAACATTGATTAATAACAGTAACTCAAATTAATTAATAACAATAACTCAAATCATTCTCAAAAAAAAAAAAAAAACAGCAACTCAAATTTTCGAATCTTCCCCAGTTATTCTTCCTCTTCTGTAGCTTCAGTTCAGCTTCTTTGTTTTCCAGATATCATTTTCTCCATGGCATCCACCAAAGCTTTTTTGCATTTACTTTTCTCAAATCTGTACTTAAAATGACAACTCAAAAGTTAACCTTAACGTTCCGAACAATCTTTCCCACAAACTATATATAGTGATAGTAATTAACTGCACCAAATACCACAGATGACAATTTCCAACAGAATCTAGACTTGATTCCCTCAGTTTTGAGATAACATATTCATTGTCAGCAGAACAGCCCAAAGCCAGTCGCAGACATTGTATCAATTTCTAATCTCCACAATAACCAACCAAAAAACAATGGGAAACAATCTACTTCTACATCAAATTTATGCAGTCCGTATATGAACAATGATGCTCACATATAGATTCTTTAAATACGAATCTACGCGGATTAGACTCATCAATTGTGACAAATTACATAAGCGAATATAGTTATGTATTACCTTGGGAGGCCTTGGGATTGATTGATCTGTTTCTTCTATCCTTTCAATGGTCTAGTATCAAGGACATACTAATAGAAAACCATGACTCTTACTTTGCTCGTGACGGAATCGCCAGAGGAATTGTAGCATTTACCGTCTACCATATTTGAGAAGTTAGGAATGGTGCAATTTTTAAAAATGGTACCCTTTCGGAGAAAGATATCTTATAAGAAAATCTCTTTGTCCTTGAAGACAAAACTCTCAACCATTATAAAAAATGAGGGACACGGGAAAACAAATCTTGGTGTGCAAAAATGAAAATTTTTCCTGAGTTCACTTGAAGATTGCTTTTTGTATCTCGTTTTTTTTTTTTTTTTTGGGTGTGTGTATAGCTCATAGAATCTTTAAGAATCTTGTCTAGGAATACTGTTAAAACTATGATGTTGTACTCAGAGTTTCTATCTCTGCGATGAAAAGCAATTTTCATCCCCCAAAAAAAATAAAAAAAATCCACAATTTGTCTTCATTACCTCACATGAATCATCAAACTAAATTATACAATTACAATGGAAACAAAACTATCAAGACATAATCAGATATTTATATATTAATATTCGCCAAATCTTAACTCATCTCCCAATATATTTTAATGGCTCTATCATTTTCGCAAAAAAAAAAAAAAAATCATTCGTGACAAAGTAATAATCTCTCCCTCCATCACATTGAAACTGTCGAAATCTCCGACTTAATATGTCTTCATCTCGAAATATTCTTCCATCATCACTTGCAAATCACTCCAAGGGACTTACCATCAATAGTACCTCTCACTGTCTCTACAGGACAATCTGCCAGAAAATAGCCAATTACTGAACCGATTTGTAACCATTTCTCTAACATTTACGAAGATTACGTACCTACGCCTAATTAATTTATTCATGGATTTCACTATGGAAGAGAGACGCATGCCAACGTGCTGCTGTTTGGGACGATGAAGATGATGTTTTCTTGCAAGTGACTGATTGATTTATTTTCAATGGAAAGAGAAACTGACACCTACAAATGGTTTTTTTTTTTTATATATAATTTAAATTACGCCCTCGTAAAAGGGAAATTTCTTGAAGGATATTACATCGTTATAGTAGATCAAAATTTTCTTATTCTACATATGCTTAGTTTGAATGGTAGAGCCATACATTTAACAATATTACGATCCGTGTTAGATTGTTTATGTAAGTAATGAGATGAAGAGGTCAAGGAGAAAATAATATAAACAAAGTTGAGTCACAACTTTTTAAAGATTTTCACCACATAAATAGTAGAGCAAGGACGGCCATTTATGCAACATAATCAAACATGTTCATGTTCAACAGATGTAACAACTGGATGTATGCATTCTACGTAGATTATGGGTTTCTGGGTTTACAAGTGCTAGCTGCAATCAGCAGTTACTTTCTTCTAAAATTGCTGTGGGTACAGAGGAGATATGGTTTGCCTCCAGGTCCAAACGGGCTTCCGATTCTGGGAAATTTACATTGTTTAGGCAAGAATCTTCACCAAGATTTGTGCAAATTGTCCAAAAAGTATGGTCCGATTATGTATTTGCGTATTGGATATGTTCCAACTGTTGTAGTTTCATCCCCTGCTGCAGCTGAGAAGTTCCTCAAGACTCATGATCATGTTTTCGCGAATCGGCCGTATCATCAGGGCTCTTGGTATCTTTGTTATCACCAGAGGAACTTGACTTTTAGCAAGGACAATCTGTATTGGCGTAACATGCGTCAAATCTGCAGTTCGAACCTGTTTAGTAATCGAAGAGTTGCTTCGTTTGAGTCCATGAGAAGGGAAGAAGTCAGATTAATGATCGAATCGCTTAAAAGGGCTGCTTCTAATGGTGTCTCAGTTGATCTTAGCTCTGAGATAAGGTCTTTGAGCGCAAATATGAGTTGTTTGATGATTTTTGGGAAGAAGTATTTGGACAAGGATTTTGAAGATAGAAGATTTGGTGATGTGATTAGAGAAGCTCTGCATATTTCAGGACATCCTAACTTTGGCGATTACTTTCCCCTGCTTCGGATTTTTGACATTCAAAGGCTTACTCGCCGGTTTAAGGAAATCGCCAAGAATTACGACGATCTTATCGAGAAGATCATTGTTGATCATCTTGATCATTCCCAAGAACACCAGGAAACCAAAGAAGACTTTGTTGATATCTTGATGGATAGCATGGAATCTGAAGAATTCGAATTTGAATTTGATCGTCGCCATTTGAAAGCTGTTCTATTGGTAAATTTGTGCTCCTCATATCCTTTCATAGTTAATTTCAAAAGGATCAATGAAACATTGTTCATCTGATTTTATCTTGTTTTTCCTATCATATATTCGTATGTATCTAAAGAAAATTAGATTTCTAATAGCTTAAAGAAAATTTGAAGAATCATATGTATCAGACGAAGATCTCTGAAGTTTGGATTTTAGGCTTTCAGATGTATTGCTTTGAATTTATACACTTCATATATATACAGGACATGCTCACTGCATCGATGGATTCAACGACGGCGACGATTGAATGGACAATTTCAGAGTTGCTCAGGCATCCTGGAATCATGTGGAAGCTCCAAAAAGAAATAGAACAAAGAGTTGGGATGGATAGATTTGTGGAGGAATCAGACCTCGAAGGCCTAACTTATTTGGATATGGTTATGAAAGAATCCATGAGACTCCATCCTGCCTCAGCATTAACGCTGCCTCATGTATCTACAGAGGACTGCATTGTGGATGGACATCATATCGAGAAAAACACACAACTCCTCGCAAACATATGGGCGATTGGGCGTGATCCTAGTGTCTGGCCTGATCCCGAGTCTTTCCTTCCTGAAAGATTCACTGGGACTAATGTGGATCTTCTTGGAAATGATTTCAAACTTATACCATTTGGTTCAGGAAGGAGAAGCTGTCCCGGTTTGGAATTGGCGGTTACAGTGGTTCGCTTCATCGTAGCACAATTGGTGCATTGCTTTGATTGGGAACTTTCTGATAACATTGAACCAAGTGATCTGGATATGTCAGAGAGTTTTGGTACAGTAACATCAAGAGCCAAGCCTTTAGAGGTGATTCCCACTTATCGTTTGCATAACTAATCCACATTGTGGTGTTGTTTTTTCTATTTTGAGTTCAGAAGATTGAAATCTCAATCACAACCATTCCAGAGTTCATAGATGTTAGCAACAAGGAATTCTAATCCTTTCTTTTGCTGCATTTTAGCACTTCCAAGCAAAACTCTTTAGATTATCTTCCTGTGAATCTAACAATGAATTTAATCATTGAAAATTCGAAGTTACATAAGAAGCAGGGCTCTTTGGTTAATCCAGGGATCACCATGATATAACTTTGTTCTACCAAGCTTGTTAATGCAAAATGCTAATTACGAAAAAAAGTAGTAGTCGACGGTAAAACCGAAATAAAGAAAGTTAGGTTGGCCAAGAGTTCAAAATGAAAGCATAGCAGCATTAGTGGATCTACATGCTTGGAAATATTGTTGAATTCAATATGGCGTCAAGGTAGTTTTTGTGCTTTTCTTTGCTCTCCTCTATAATCATTCCTTCATTCTATTAAAGCAGGAAGAAAAAGAACTCAATATTCAGTCAGTCTCAATAATTAAGATTCCTTTGTCAGATAGCTTAGGACAAAGCTCTATCTTAGTTCAGTTTCATGATATTCTTTGGGTGTGTTTTTTAAAAATTCAGTGACTACCTTAGTATAATGATCACAGGGTTCACTAGAGGTAGAGCAGAAGATAGAAGTTGAATTTCGATTCTGCATTACTCCTTTTGTTTCCAGAAAAAGTAGCCCCCTTTGTTGAATTGCTTTAGTTCAAGTAAGAAGTAGGGCTTCTTTTCTCGGACTGAGTAAACAAATTAGTACAATGAAAGATGAGTTCATACTTGATAGCTTTTCGTCTACTTTAGAAGAGATGAAACAGATTCCTCACTCTTGAACAAAAGAGCAGAAATTAACAACAGGTTCTCTATCACTTCTGCAGCCGGTAAATGGGAACCACCTTTAGAGACTTAGCTCTTGATGTCACTATACCAAAAGTCTCGGACATATCCAGATGACTTGGCTCGACATTATCGGCGAGTTTCCAATCAAAGCAATGCACCAACTGCGCTAACACAAAACGCATGACAGTAAGCGCCAACTGCAAGCCAGGGCAGCTTCTTCTTCCAAAACCAAACGGTATAAGTTTGAAATCGTGACCTTGAAGATCCACACTGCTCCCGAGAAACCTTTCAGGGATGAAGCTCTCGGGATCAGTCCATACACATGGATCACGACCGATTGCCCATATGTTTATGATAAGCCGTGTTCTTTTCTCGAGATGGAATCCATCCACTATGCAGTCCTCCAAAGATTCATGAGGAAGCCCTAATGTCGCCACCGGATGGAGCCTCATGGATTCCTTCACAACCATGTCCAAATAAACAAGGCCTTCAAGATCTGATTCCTCAAGAATCCTCGCGTTTCCAACTTTGTCTTCTATTTCTTTTTGGAGCTTCTTCATAGTTTGAGGATGCCTGATGAGCTCTGATAGTGTCCATTCAACTGTAGCCATTGTAGAATCCATTGAAGCTATGAGCATGTCCTGTATAGTTCAACATAAATTTTGTAGAATCCAGGAATGCATATTTCCAAAAATCCTCCAACAATCTAGAGAGATTCCGACTATATTTTAACATGCAATAAGCACCCTGATGTTTCAATTTTCCTTGAGCAAAGATAGTGATGTATACAAAAACTGATTGGCAGTGTTTGTAAAACAAAGTATGAAATGTAGAGATGTCAAATAGTCAGATTTAGGAATACATACCAATAAAATAGCTTTAACATGACGACGATCAAAATCGAATTCAGATTTTCCAGATTCCATAATATCCATCAAGATATCCACGAAGTCCTTGGTCTCATTTTGATCCTGAGAATTTACATGGTCATCAATGATTTTCTCGAGAAGATCATCGTAAACCTTGGCGATTTTCTTAAACCGACGAGTAAATCCTTGAAGGTCAAGCACCCGAACCAGAGGAAAATAATCGCCAAGATTAATAAGCGCTGAAATTTCGAGTGATTCTCTAACCACATTACCAAATCTCTTATCCTTAAAATCCTTGTCCAGATACTTCTTCCCAAAAATCATCAAACAACTCATATTTGCACCCAACGACCTTATATCAGTGCTAAAATCAACAGCAGCGCCATCTGAGGCTACCCTTTTAAGCGATTCGACCAACAATCCCACCTCTGCCCTCCTCATGGACTCAAATGAACTAATGATTTTATTGCTGAGCAGATGAGAGTTGCAGAGTTGACGGATTTTACGCCAGTAAGGACCATATGGACTGAAAGTCAAGTTCCTTTGCTCATAACCAAGGTGCCAGGAGCCCTCGTGATGAGGCCGGCTGGCGAAAACTTGATCATAAGTCTTGAGGAACTTCTCAGCTGCTTCTGGAGATGAGACCACAATAGCTGGAACTGTTCCAAACTTCATGTGCATGATTGGACCATGTTTTTTGGCCAATTTGCACAAATCTTGATGAGGGTTCTTCCCTAACTGATGCAAATTTCCTAAAATTGGAAGTCCTTTTGGACCGGGAGGCAACCTTCTTCGCTTCTTTATCCATAGCAATTCATGAAGAAAATAGCAGCAGAATGCTGCCGATATAAGTGCTGGCCAATATTGCCAAATGATTATCATGTTGGAAATGTTTACAAATGAAGGAAACTTACCCCAGTCCCTTTAATAAGCTCTTCCTTCTAAAGATTTATCGATTATTATACTACTACTGTGCAAGTTCCTCCAACCAAATTGATTATTTTTCAGGTGTGGGACTTTGCTATAGCTCTGTCCTGAAGCAAGACATAATGGCGAAGAATCTATCATAGCATCAAATTATTTTACTAGGTAGCCAATTAAATGCAGTATGTAAGCTGATGAATTGAATAAACACTATGCTCCTAATTATATAACACAAATTAATACGAAATTTAGTTCAAATTTTTGCATAATGATTAAGACATGACGGACTATTACACATAAGTATTTGTAAACTTTCTTTGAAACCCAAAAAATAAATTAGAAAACGTTCCTCTAGTTACTACAAACACCAATTAAGTGGACTTCTCACTCCGTTACAAATTCACAGTTTGAATTTTTATTTTAAGTTCAATTTTTATTAAAAATCTAAATCAGATAATAATTTTGGGATGGATAGATGGTGTATAACTTTGCAAAATGTCAAAAGTCAAAACATTAAGAACGTCTAAGGTTATGTTTGGATCGTTTTTTGACTGTATTTTTTTCTATTAGAATTGTAAAAACGTATATTGAGAATGTAAAATGATGCATTAAGAATGTAAAAAAATATGTTGGGATGAGATAGATATTAATTAAAAATTCTGAACAAATCAACCAAAAAACCAACCAAACATAGCCTTAGCTTTATGGGGATAAGTGACTAAAATAAATCTTTATCGGGGAAGGTACCACTCGAACAGATCTATTCTGCTCCAGTTGGAGTTAGCCTCGAGTGTTTGTGAACCATAAAGCTATGAACGGTTAAACACAATGAAACGTACATCTAGACATTGATCTTGCCTTTTTGTCACCTAAAAAGGTCTATTGAGAAAAAGAGAAATTTGTCTCAAAGTAGATCAGTTTTAGACTCAAACCTTGTTACAATTTCTCTCCTTCAACTCTTTCTATCAGCGGCGGAGCTAGGGAGGACAAGCAGCGGTGGTTGCCCTTCTCACCAGAATTTTTCTTTAAAGAGCGTTTTAAATTTTTAGTGTAAATTAATTTTTATTTTTTTAAAAGATTTTTGCGCCTTCAAAATAATATTTTCGGCAGTTCATCCCTATAAACACAAAATCCTAACTCCGCCACTGATTTTGATCCAATCAATATGATACTACAAAAATTACTTGTAATGTGCTTAATCAATGTCTCTTGATCCAAAATCTATTGGCTAAATGTTTGTTGAAGTTGGATTTTCTCATAGTACACCAATGATCCACTATTGGTTCCCTACTCCGAACTGATTTTCTCCACTCCCGAACAAGAAAATGGGTTGTGACTTGTTTCCTTTTTTCTGTTTTTTTTCCCCCTTATTAAGGACAAACTGGATTGCTTCCTAACAATGTACAAACCACTACATGGGCAACTAATTTAGTTTCCAAAAACAATATTATTTTCCTTTTCACTACCTAAGTCCCAGATTTAGACTATCTTTTTTTGAGTCTTTTGTCTTCATGAATCAGATTTGAATTATAGTTGAATTTCCCACTACATCATTGATCCGATACGATAGAGGATTAGAAAATTTAGTAACCAAAAATCTATATCTCAAATAACCGCACAAAATAAATTTTAATTTAGTCTATGAAACAATATTAATTTTGGAGTCTCGCAATAATGAAAGTCTTACAAACCCCCTCAAAAATAATAAACCCTACATCCCCACTGTATAACTATGTAACTACCGAAATATACGGTAATTGAATAACTGATCTTCTCCTAATATTCCTTTTCTTATTTTTAATAAAATTCAACTAAATAAATATGTACCAAATTGTATCAAAAATAAAATTTCCTATTAAACTTGTTTTATTTCCAACAGTGAATCTTGATCACACAGGGATCTGCGAGTTATATATATAGTCATTCTTGATCGAAATTCTATTCAGGAAAACAGGACATACTCGGTCATCGGCTCGAACCGAACGCCTACGTTTGTATTTTCTAAATATAGATGACTCCACATTGGGAAATCTGTTGTGTAGTTGCAATTCGATTGAGGATTTAACAATTGTGAACTGTGGTGGGCTACAAAAGTATGTGTTCACCGATCTTCTTCTTCCTCGTCGTCTCAAGCGATTCTATGTTGCCGGAGACACTATTGCGAATTTATAGAAGTTGGATCCCAATGTCTTGAGCACCTTAAAGTAGTACTCCCTCCGTCCCATAATTATTGTCCACTTTTACTAAAATGAAAAATTTTATTTTTGGTCAAACTTAACTATATTTTACCTTAAACAACCGGATATACCCCTACATAAGTAATTGTTTAACCATTAAGACTTTATGGATAATGTTTTTTACTAAGGACAAATGTGTAACTTGATCCATAAAAAGTCAAATTGGACAATAATTTTGGGACAAAATTTTTTAGGCAAAGTGGACAATAATTATGGGACGGAGGGAGTATATTTTTATCCAGGTCGGTTTATCTTACATCCATGCCGGAGTCTCAAGTCCTTGCGCCTGAGGGATCCTGATTTGAGAAACACCTCATTTGAAGACTTGGAAACTAAATGTCCTAACCTTAAATACTTGAAAATGGTTAGCTTTCTTTCTAATAAGGACTGTACCATCAAAATCTCAAGTTCTTCACTGGAGAAGTTAAAGATCAATTTGCAACACATGGAGATTTGGATTCATGCACCTCAAATGAATCGATTCGTGTCCCATGGCAAAAGCGAACCCCGGCTACATATTACAGCTGCCTCAAACCAATTGACTTCGAAAATTTGTCTTACCCAATCTCAAGACCGTTTTGATATCCCCTTCAACGAACTGAAAGAATGTATATCTTGGCAAGGCTTGAGAGATATGGAAGAACGTGACCGGGCGCCATTAATGGATGCCGTAAGGAACATTTTGTCCACACAACCGGGTCAAAATGAGATTAAGTTTTGGCAAAAGCATCTGAAGCGGGTACAAGTTGAGGCAATGACTCTTGATCGTTTTTATGGGAGAATTGAAGTCTCTTACGTGTTAGATTGGGGACATCAACACAACAAGAAAAGAAAAAGACATCATAAATTGGGATAGCTGAATTGAAATCAAATGTAGTGATATGGATTTGACTTTCTAATTTTTCTCTTTTATGTAACGCTAGTAAAATAGTCATTTGCTTCGGAAAAAATAATTCAGTGTTTCAATTCATCATCCTGAAAATGACTGTTCAGTTAGGATTTTCACTTTGAATATAAATTATGTCCACAATCGGTACTACTACTTCTGCAACCGATAAACTGGAATCAGCTCTAGATTTCTAGTTCTTGATGTTACTATACCAAAAGTCTCAGACATATCGAGATCACTTGGCTTGATGTTATTAGGAAGTTTCCAATCAAAGCAATGCACCAATTGTGCTAACACAAAACGAACGATAGTAAGCGCTAACTGCAAACCCGCGCAACTTCTTCTGCCAGAACCAAATGGTATAAGTTGGAAATCATGTCTTTCAAGATCCACATTGCTTCCAACGAATCTTTCAGGGATGAAGCTCTCTGGATCAGGCCACGTATCTGGATCGCGCCCGATTGCCCATATGTTTATGATGAGTCGTGTTTTTTTTTTTTCTCGAGATGGAGTCCTCAATTCTTCTAATCTTTGCTTTGAAACATTAAGTTCCTAGTTTATACTTTCAGTCACCATCGTCAAGTATCAATAAGCACATTTTGTCAAAAACTCTGATGCAAAATTTTTCTTCCTAACTAAAACCTTAAACAAATTGCAATACACGTTTGAGAGTGAGTGCCAGCAAATACCGATAATGACACAATGTTATCCTGCAAAATTTTTTAAGGCGTATTTCAGGAGAGTCCAACATTTCCGGTGGTTCTGTGCTATTTTCCATTGTTGAATGTCTGTAAACAAGTTTTATATTACTTTTCAATGGTCAACTTGCCAAGTTGATTCGACTTTGGGCTTGCTTCTTGTAGATTATGACGTGGGAGTAACTGCTGATGTTCAGTTCATTTAATTCATTGGTTGTTGCATAATTTAAATGCTAAAAATTCATTTTAAAGACAATAGCGGTTGACCAAATCATTTTTTAAATAAACATGAGCTTTCTTTCTTCTTTTTTTTTTTTTTTTGTTTTGTTTTGTTTTGTTTTGTTAAGGTCTGAGTCTATCCCTCCAGCCGATAGCCAGAAGACTAAGCCCCTTCCTTACGGTCAGCGCATTAAGTAGTGGCGCACTGGCCTAATAGTTTGCTCCATTCACATTGGAGATCAAAACCCCTGACCTCATATTTAAGCATGAAGTGATAAACTACCACGCCAGTCATATTGGTTTGAGATGTTTTAAACGTTCAAAATAATTTCTAGCAATATAAAGTTATTCAAAATATGAGTAAATTGTATTTAAAACTCCCTTAAGATTTGGCCACACTACTAAAAAACCCCAGTGCTGTTTTGGTATTACTACCAAATGATTCCCATACCTTCTTCAGTTTTTTAATCTCATTTCTTTAGTCTTTATATAATACTGTAGTAAGACAAATTTGGATGACTAAACTTATTAAGGTCGTGACAAAACCTTTAGCTAGGTAGTTTCCTAGATGCTTCAAATTTGTATGTGTTTTGGCTTTGGAAAATAATCTCGTCAAGTAAATTAAGCTGTTCAATCAATTACTGCAACAACGAGGACTTGTTAGATAATAGAACGTATATGTGCAATAGGATCCCGTCAAGGAGCTGAAAAAAAGTTCCAAAATATTTCTTCTTAGCTTGAGAGGGAGAGAATAATATTTTAATTACGAGATATTATTGGAATTTCATATTCGGCACAAAACGTAATAAGAAATCGCAACTTTGTAGCAGAGGGCAGTAATTGTCATTGCTGATTGTAAGGATGGCATAATTAGGTGTTGCTGTTATAGGAATTTGATTAGTTATAGTATTTCTTCTGTTCTCAAAATAATGATACTCTAAATAAAAATCTAAATTGGACAATCTTTTCAGAACGCGATTACTAGTTTAAATAGTTCGCTAATTGGAGTGAGTGAGTAAGCTACAACTCCATAATACTTTGAACACGTTCAATATGATAATCAATTGGCAATATTGGACTGCATTTCTGTTGGCAACAATCTGCTGTTTCTTCCTCCATGAATTGTCACAGACGAGAAGGCGAAAAGGGTTGCCTCCAGGTCCAAGAGGGCTTCCAATCTTGGGGAATTTACACGAGTTAGGGAAGAACCCTCATCAAGATTTGTGCAAATTGGCCCAAAAACATGGTCCAATTATGCATATGCGATTTGGAAACGTCCCAACAATTGTGGTCTCATCCGCTGAAGCAGCTGAGAAGTTCCTCAAGACTTATGATCATGTTTTCGCAGGTAGGCCTTACCACGAGGGCTCCTGGTACATTAGTTACGAGGGAAGGAGCCTGGTTTTCAGTCCGTATGGTCCTTATTGGCGTAAAATGCGCCAACTCTGCAATCTGCATCTTCTCACTAGAAACAGAATTAGTTCATTTGAGCCAATGAGAAGAAAAGAGGTTGGTTTATTCATTGAATCGCTGAAAAGGGCAGCTTCTGATGGTGTTGATGTTGATCTTACAACCGCAATGTGGTCTTTGGGTGCGAATATGAGCTGTTTGATGATATTCGGGAAGAAGTATTTGGACAAGGATTTTGAAGATAAGAGATTTAGTGATGCGGTTAGAGAAGCTCTGCATCTTTCAGCACAGCCTAACATTGGTGATTATTTTCCTCTGCTTCGGTCGCTAGACCTTCAAGGCTTCACGCGACGGTTTAAGCGTATCGCCAAAATTTACGATGATCTCCTTGAAAAAATCATTGATGACCATCTAAAATCTCCAGGGCGCGAGGAAGCAAATGACTTTGTAGACATCTTGATGGATCTAATGGAATCTGGAAAATTCGAGTTCGAGTTTGATCGTCGTCATGTCAAAGCTCTTCTACTGGTATGTACTTCTCACATGTTCTGTAACTTCTTAGTTCAATTTCATAGTTTTTGTATTGGTTTTAACTTTAATTTCACTAATTCTTGTAAATATGTAACATATCTTATAGCAAGGGGGAAAAAATTTACTTGAATCTATCAAGATTTTGGCATCAGAATCATTGAATTCACGCGTTGATCAACTTACAGGAAATGCTCATAACCTCAATGGACTCAACGATGGCAACAATTGACTGGGCAATTACAGAGCTTCTCAGGCATCCTGACATTATGAAGAAGCTCCAAAGAGAAATAGAAGGGAAAGTTGGAATGGGAAGAATTGTGGAGGAATCTGACCTGGAAGGCCTAATGTATTTAGATATGGTTGTGAAAGAATCCATGAGGCTCCATCCTGTGGGAACATTAGGCCTTCCTCATGAATCCATAGAGGACTGCACAGTAGATGGCTTCCATATCCAGAAAAATACGCGACTAATCATAAACATATGGGCAATCGGGCGTGATCCAAGCGTTTGGCCTGACCCCGAGAGTTTCATCCCTGAAAGGTTCGTTGGGAGCAATGTTGATCTCCGAGGGCAAGACTTCCAACTTATACCCTTCGGTTCTGGAAGAAGAAGTTGCCCTGGTTTGGCGTTGGCGCTTACCGATGTTCGCTTTGTGTTAGCACAATTGGTGCATTGCTTTGATTGGAAACTTTCTGATAACATTCAGCATAGTGATTTGGATATGTCTGAGGCATTTGGTATAGTGACAACCAGAGCTCAGCATTTAAGGGTTGTTCCCATTTATAGGTTGCAGAAGTAGTCAAGAATGTGGAATTATTATGCTGTTCAGTTTCTCCAATAATGTTCTGTGTTCTAGAGAAGTGTCTTGGTCATGGACTCTTCCCTTTCAATTTTCTGAAAGTTCTTGAATAATTTGTGCTGCTTTTTATCCATCCCAAGGAGAATTTTATCAAAAAAAATAAAATAAAAGAAATAAGAATAGTTTTTGGACGTAGTGAGAGTATTTGAAAGGCAAAACTTTTTACACGCTCGATTTTATAGATCTATTTATATACATATAAGAAACCGCATTCTACAATTTACAATCTTAATCCTTACTCTAGAATCTTCACTTCTAACTAGCGGCAAAATTATTTATAAGAAGAACCTTTGCGTGATCTCCAAGCACATTCCGTGAGCCACGTGATGATTCTGGAAGCTCCTTATGAATTTCCAGGTCAGCAGCAATCCCTGCAAGTTGCAGAACGCATCCTGAGTGTTCTGTGTTTGAAGAATGAGAAAAGTGGGAAACAAGAACGTCGTCGTTTGCTTCAGTCGGTGGATTCAAAATTGAATTTGGTTGCTGGCGGGAAATGATCATTGCCGTGTTTGCTGTGTGATTCTTCAATAGTAATAGAACTCGACAAGTTAGTTATAAGACCCTCTTAAACTCAACATGTGTCCGTCTCGAATTCATTGGAAGATAAAGATTTAGAAAAAAAATGTTATATTAATGTTTTCAATCCTTAAATGAAGTGTTGAGTGAAATTCATAAAGCTAGAGATTAATTGAAAGGGTGATTATGAGTATATGATACAAAAGTTTGGCAAAAGCAAAACAATGATGGTTGTTTACTTGTGCAAATTAACCCTTCCCAATAATGAGCATAATCATTATTTATTTCCACTGTGCTTTGAGTGTTGGAAAATGCAAAAAAATGTGTATCAGATGTTAAAAAAAAAATAAAAAAAAAACCTTCAATAAAGAAATTGTAAAAAAAAAACCCTATATACAAAGAAAAGGAACCAAACAAAGGCAAAAGAAAAAGAGTTTGGAATTTTGGTAATTTACCCTTTGTTTGAAAAGTGAGCCTTTCCACAGAACTCATATTTCACAGCCACCATCATCTCTTCAAAAATGACCATAGCCAGCTTATCCGGGCAGCTTCAGCTCCCGTCATCAAAACCCACATTCAAATTCCATAACTTCCCTCATTATTCCTCCCATTTTCACTTCAATACTTTCCCATGGAATTCGCCAAAGAAACGGGTATTCCGTGTCAGCAATGTTGTGACCCGGGCCAAGAGGAAAACGGGTTCAAAATCCCAGAACCGAGACCCAGAGGTAGAGGAGCTGGTTCGTGTTCTAATGAGGAATTTCAATGATAACCAGCCGTTGACCGCCACTTTGAATAAGTTCGTGAAGGTTGTCAGGAGCGAGCATTGTTTTATGCTCTTTGAAGAGCTCGGCCGGACCGATAAATGGCTCCAGTGCCTTGAGGTTTGGCCCCTTTTTCTTTTAACCCTTTTGGATTGTGGTCAGCCCTGTTGGAAAAAATGGAATTTTGTGAACTTGAATACTGAAATTACTGGGGAATTATGTGATTTTAAGTGGGTTCTTAATGCATATGCATTCTTGGATATTCTTTCCTCCTTTTAGAAGCTCTGGAAATGTTGTGGTTGAGCGTTGTTCTGTTCATGTTTATATTATGTGAATGACAATGTACAAATTCGTTCATATTTGGTTAGGTTTGATCTTATTACATGGTCTTGATTTGTTGAAATGATCGTCTGTGTCCTGGTGTAGAGATTGGATTTTTCTGGATGGCAAATGTAAGAAGTTATAATGTAGGATTAGTATTTTTGGTGTGCCATTTTGAGATAATATTATCGATTAATCATACAACTCTGTAAAATTTATCGCTTTTTATTGGGTTTTGTGTAATCTTTTATAGTTGTGTCTTTGCATTAATTATAGACCCTGTGGACATGTAATTCTTTGGCTCATAACTGAGAACAGAGCTAGTAGTTTTACATATAGCTTCCAATAATTTTAGGTGTTCAGATGGATGCAAAAGCAACGATGGTATATAGCTGATAATGGTGTGTATTCAAAGTTGATATCAGTTATGGGTAGGAAAGGACAGACGAGGATGGCTATGTGGCTTTTCTCTGAGATGCGTAATAGTGGGTGTCGTCCTGACACTTCAGTGTATAACGCACTGATTACTGCCCACCTTCACAGCCGTGATAAAGCCAAGGCGTTGTCTAAGGCTTTGGGATACTTTGAGAAGATGAAGGGGATGGAGCGATGTCCCCCTAATGTGGTTACATACAACATTCTTTTGAGAGCATGTGCACAGGCACGTGATGTTGATCAAGTTAAGGTATTGTTGGAAGATCTTGACAAGAGCATCGTGACGCCTGATATCTTCACCTTTAATGGACTGATGGATGCATATGGAAAGCATGGGATGATTAGGGAGATGGAATCTGTGCTATCCCGAATGAAAAATAACAAGCTGAAACCTGATATCATCACTTTCAATTTGCTGATTGATGCATATGGACGGAAACAAGAATTTGAAAAGATGGAACAAGTGTTTAAGTCTTTGTTACGATCCAAGGAGAAGCCTACACATCCTACATTCAATTCCATGATCACAAACTATGGAAAAGCAAGGCTTAGGGAGAAAGCTGAGTTAGTTTTTCAGAAGATGACTGATATGGGGTATTATCCAAGCTTCATAACTTATGAGTGTCTTATACTGATGTATGGATATTGTGATTGTGTGTCCAAGGCAAGAGAGATATTTGATGAAGTGAGAGAATCTGCTAAGGAAAAGAAGGTCTCGACTTTGAATGCAATGCTGGAAGTGTATTGTAGGAATGGTTTACCTCTAGAAGCAAACGATCTGTTTGAGAGTATACATGCCTCTAAAACTTTTCACATTGATTCCTCGACTTACAAACTTTTGTACAAAGCTTATACTAAAGCAAATCTGAAGGAATTATTGAAGAAATTGCTTTTGTACATGGATAGGGATGGAATCATTCCCAATAAGAGATTCTTTCTGGATGCTCTTGGAGCCTTTGGATCTTCATCGACAAGCCAGAAGACAACTAAGAGCAGTAGCAGTTTGAGAATGCAAGCAACTAATGTGAAGACATAATTAGTACACAGAAAGTAATCTTTCTTGGTTACCTATTCGGTACTTGCGTCTCCATTCTGACTAAGCTTAGCTTTTGCTGGATATGAGTCTGCAGAACCACTCAACATATATTGAAAGTCTCAGAAGCTCCTCCCATCATCTCCTGCAGAGTTCAATGGTACTGTTTCTTTCTTACATGGACTTGAAAATTGATTCTATTCTAAGAAGTTTGGGAAATCCCTCACATCTGTACAGTGTTCCCCCAGATTGTGAATTTGTCCATTTCTTTTCTGATGTGTGTTTTTATTGTGATCCTTTAGCTGATGATTTTAAAGATTGTTAAAAACTTGGTCACTTGTCAGTTTCAGGTACGAGGTTGAGGTGTGTGATCAGAAGATCGAGTCAGGGAACAATTTTGATTTTTAGCCCCCCCTGCATTTTTGTCATGAATTTATAATGGGCAATCCCATGTAACTCAATGGTATCTTTCCACTAATATTGAAAAGCTCCTGTGGTTCCAAAGATCAAATATAATGCGCCCTTTGTAAACTTTGAAGAAGTTCTTAGCCAATGAGTAGTCCTATTCCTTACTATCCAGCCATGGAACTGGTGTCACATTGCCTGTTTTAGGAGTTGGCCATTGTTTTGCTTGTATGGCACCCAAAGATGGCCAAGATGCCGGGAGAATGGGAGCCTTACTGCTATGGGCAAGTCTTGTTGGATCTGTCATTTTAGTGTTTGGATCATGAAAGAGTTGCTGTATAATATTTTGATGTGCCGGACATCCAGAAGAATGGTGATTATGTTGGTGGATGCAAGTTTACTGCGGTTCTATGTAATCCACACGGAAGAATCTACAATTTGTTTTGGATTTTGGACAATGACCTGTTTGTTGCAGGTATCATTCTCTAGCTTACTTTCTCCCTCTGTCTCAAAAATTTTTCTGTTTGTTGTACTAAAGCAATATAACAAAAAGGATAATCATTTCGGAACATGGGAGTAGATGGAGATAATGGAAGCCAGATTTTTGTTCCTCCTAGTAGTGCCCAGAAACTTTCAATTCCTCAAACTAAAAAGTTGTAAAACATGCATGGGTCATATTTACAAACCAATAATCCGAATTAGATGTAAGAAACTTGTTCTTAGCAACTGATGTTATTCTTATCATAACAACTAATTTAGATAAATTCAACGACCATTGATTATCATTAATCAAATAGTATCAATACAATGCCAGTGGTGTACATTTATTTGTAACTCCCTCCTCTCCTATTTGAACGAAGTTTAATTTTAATTTGTGACTCATGAAGGAGTAGGTGAGAAGGTCAATTTTGCCAAACAATTGGTGGAAACCACCACTAATAATTTTATCCATGTGATGAGAAAAGGTGCTGGAGTACAATGACCGTCAATGTCAAAGCTAGGTAGATTCAAATGGGAACTTATTTCAAAATAGTACTATGAACCAATAAGAAAAAAAATAGCAGAATCAAATGTGACCATATATTGTGTTTTTTGAACTGAATCATTAGCTGGCACTTAAAGTCCTTTTCCAGCCAATGAGGAAGTGACAAGAAAAGGAAATAAAAAGTGCCAGTTCTAACATTCTCAGCAGAATTGTGAAACATATCAATAGCCAAATCTCTAATACAAATGAAATCTGTTTGCCCATTAGAAGTGTTCATCTCCTAGTAAACACTAATTGACTCTTTAGATTATGGTGCACGATTTTGTCAAAAATAATGTTGTTCACTAATGAGATATGGTTGGTACACAATACTAATAATATGAGAGACAAAGTCAGTTAGGAAATGCCTCAAGTCCAAGTCTTATATACCATGATATTTGTATAATATAGGCGGCTAGAAAACAGTCTTGCAGAAACTTATCAGAACTTTCTGCAGCTTTTGCAAGATGGTCATACCATGTAAGTTCTATTACATGAAACTGTTTCTGTTTTTCAGTATATTTCCCCCCTTTTTCCTGTTTGCATTTTCTACTTCAATGGTGATTGGCTGATGGATAATAAGCCTTTTTCACTCGTATGTTTTGCCTTTTAGGCCATGCTTTGCAAATGTTTACTTTCAGTTTTCAACAACAAAATTCACAAAAGTCATCATCTTGTCATCTTGTCATCAATATCATCAATATCATCTACAGGTGGTCAATTGAAATTACTCTATTTTTATGTACTTTGTTCAGGACAGACAATCTTTTTTGCTCAATGGCTAAACAAAATCAAATTAGTGCTGTCTTCTAATTGACTTTTTCGGATGATCACATGATAATAACACATCACATGATTCATGCGACTATTCCTTGACGTAACTGAAAATGTTTTGCAGTGAGTCGAATAATTCACTGATGATGTGTACAAAGTTATCATTTACTTTTAAATGGGCAACATTAAGTCGAGGGAGAAGTGAGATCGGTCACAGCAGAGAACATCCTGTTACCACCTTGTCAGGCTTCACCATTTAAAAACTTATATTCACTTCAGAAAATATACTTAAAGTTGATTCAGTGCAATAAAAGTTTCGGTGGACTAAGTTTTGTATTCTGAAAAGCATTGGAAGTTTGCACAGTTATCATCATTTGAAGTGATTGATCAACATAATGATTGCATCTTCTACAGCTCCGCAATGTCTATTGCTGGCTATTCTATTTCTGTTTCTATTGGTGCCTTCCAGTTTGAGCTCAAGCGTCAAAACAGAACCAGCATACAAAAGAAAAGAGAGAATAACTGCACAACATGGGGCTGTTGTCGCTGATGATGGGCGATGCTCTAGAGTTGGAAATAAAGTTCTTCGTGAGGGAGGTCATGCTGTTGATGCAACAGTTGCTGCTGCACTTTGTTTGGGAGTTGTTAGCCCAGCATCCAGTGGCATTGGTGGAGGTGCATTTATGATTGTTCGATCTGCTGATGGAAAATCTCAGGCCTTTGATTTCAGAGAAACTGCTCCAAAGAAAGCTTTCAGGGTATGATAAATCTCTAAATCTTGAGCCAACCAATGTCATTCCTTGGGCATGAGATGAGTATTTCACATTTCATCCATTGCATTGTTCTCTGATTATCAGTTGTAACTGATAAAAAGATTAATTATAATGACTTTGAAATTTCAGTGGCGAGGGCCTCAAGGCTCCTAATTGTATCTTTTTCTCATTGATTGAAATACCAGAAATCAGAATTCCTAGTTTAAAATTCTTGGTTAAATTTGTTCAGTAACCAATATTTTCCTCAAATCTGCAGTGATAAGATCCTTTTGAACTGATCATGTCTTTTAATTTTACCTGTTATATTCTAACATTTAAGAGTCCCGTCATGTTGTGTCTCCTACCACATAATGATTGTTGTATCAAATAGGATATGTATTCGGGAAATGGAACTCTGAAAGCTGCTGGTCCACTTTCTGTAGCAGTCCCAGGGGAACTGTTAGGCCTTTATCTTGCATGGAAGCAATATGGAAGGCTTCCATGGAGTAGGCTTGTTAAGCCAGCTGCACGATTTGCTATTCATGGGTTCAGGATATCACCATATCTCCGCATGCAGATGGTCGCGACAGAATCAGGTATTATGGCAGATAAAGGACTTCGTGATATTTTTACAGCAAATGGCACTCTTTTGAAGGCAGGGGATACATGTCACAACGTAAAATTGGGAGAGGTACTGATGGGAATTTCCAAGTCCGAGATGACGCCTTTCTATAATGGTTCAGTTGGATATAATTTGGTTAAAGATGTCTCAGAGGCAGGAGGCATCCTTACCATGGACGATCTGCAGCAATACCAAGTTAAGATAAGAGAACCTATCACTACAACTGTCATGGGAGTCGATATCATAGGTATGCCTCCTCCTTCATCTGGAGGACCTGCTATGGCCCTAGTAAGTAAATTGATTCATGTCTTTCTCTTACGTCTGGATTAGATTCCTCCAAAACATTTTCTTAAGATGTCCCCCTTTGTACCTGTTCTCGTCAGATACTAAATATTCTAGCACAATATGGAGCTGCTTTGAATAGTTCAAGACCACTTATGATGCATAGAGAAATCGAAGCATTAAAACATGCTTTTGCCGTGAGGATGAACCTTGGTGATCCAGATTTTGTCGACATAAAAGCTGTCTTAAATGATATGCTCTCAATCAAATTTGCAAAAGAATTGCAGAAGACCATCTACGATACTATGACTTTCAGTCCTCCCTATTATGGAGGAAGGTAAGTAACTATCTTGGGATTGAATGGTTTGCTTTCCATTTTGTCCAGTACTAATGCAACATTATATTTCTCATTTTGAATCAAAGTTATGCTGTTCCTAAAAGACCTCTATTAACATACCAATTAAGCTAATTAATTTGTAAACTTGCTCTTTTTTTTTTCATTCAGGTGGAATCAGATTAATGATCATGGAACTAGCCATTTGTCTATCATAGATAAGGACAGAAATGCTGTCTCCATTACTAGCACGATAAACGGATACTTTGGTGCTAAATTTCTTTCACCATCTACTGGAATAATACTGAACAACGAAATGGATGATTTCTCGATGCCTGAAAATACTTCTGCAAATGAACCTCCACCTTCACCTGAGAATTTCATTCATGCTGGTAAAAGACCTCTGTCATCCATGTCACCTACTATTGTAGTCCAGGTAATGTAATCCAACTGCAGTCCTTACATTGGTTTAATTTTCTTACTTCACTTAAAGCTAGACAATTGTTTTGAGAATTCGCAATTCTCATCTGACTAACTTCATAGTTAGATGTGCTAACAACAACAATGTTGAAACAGGGAGGAAATCTGAAGGCTGTTGTCGGCGCAAGTGGAGGAAGCAGGATAATCGCCGCTACAGCTGAGGTTTTCCTGAATCATTTTGTCAACGGAATGGATCCTCTGGCTTCTGTCATGTCTCCAAGAGTGTATCATGAGGTAAACAAGCTGATCTTTTATTCATTTATTTATTTTTTTCGTTACAAACGCAAACTTAGCTCAAGAAAAACTTTGTGAACAATCAATTCAATGATGACCAATTAAAACTTGTTTGGAAAAGAACAGGCTAATATGGTTCTGAAGTCGCGCCAACATAGGTGATAAGGGAAAAAGGATTTGTAACTTCGGCTTAAAATTTTTTAACATTGTTTCATGATAATCAATAATTGCACAGTTAATTCCAAATGTGGTGCATTATGAAGACTGGAAAGTTGTGACTGGAGATCATATTGAGGTTCCTGAAGAAATTAGGAGTTTCCTTAAAAAGAGAGGTCATGTCCTAGAAGGGCTTGCTGGTGGAACAATCTGTCAATTTGTGGTTCAAGATTTGAAATCAGGTAAACTTGTGGCAGTAAGTGACCCAAGAAAGGGTGGTTTTCCAGCTGGTTATTAAAATTGTGATGTAATAATGGCTCCAGAAGACCTCTATGGTATATCTGGCATGGGGTGAAAAAGTTTTGATTGTTTCACCACCATGGATTGGTCTGTAATTTTTATTCGCAGGATTTTGTAAGATAATAATCATTTGCCAAAATAATAATAAGGGAAACTTTACTCCTGAACTGTATACGGTATACCTTATTCATTTATTTGATCTAGGATTTTAGGCACCTATCTATTTTTTTTTTCTTATAGGATTTCCTATTATGGAAAGTAATCATTTTCTAAATAAATAAATAAATGAAAACGGGTTTACCATATTACAAATCTCAAAAGATATTAATAATAATTACTTTCTTTCTCTATTATATTTTTACTCCCTCCGTCCCATAATTATTGTCCACTTTGCCCAAAAAATTTTGTCCCAAAATTATTGTCCAATTTGACTTTTTATGGATCAAGTTACACATTTGTCCTTAGTAAAAAAATATTATCCATAAAATCTTAGTGGTCAAACAATTACTTATGTAGGGGTATATCCGGTTGTTTAAGGTAAAATATAGTTAAGTTTGATCAAAAATAAAATCTTTCATTTTAGTAAAACTGGACAATAATTATGAGACGGAGAGAGTACATGATATCAGAAAGTAATATTGAGAATGTAATTGATTCTATTCATGCGCTAAAAAATTATTGTGATGACTATCTAAAATTAATGTAGAAAATTAAAGTAATACATGAATTCACCCATGCACAAAATTAGTCGGTACGAATTGTACTATGGACTATTTTTGTAAGATGAAGAAATAATATCATTGTCTCATTATTGCACTAAAACAATTGTATAGTTATAAGCATGACCAAGATAAACCAGGACCTGACCGGAGATTCATGAACCGGAACGCGGAACGGGAATCAGAATCAAAATCTTAACTGATGGTTCAAAAATCGGAAGCAAAACGTTACAAGACGATTTGTTTAAGGTTCATCCATTTAAAAGAAAAAAAAACATGAGTCGACCTTCTTTTGAAACCATATAAACTGCTTATTAATAGTTGGTGTGTGAATCGAAACTGGCGATTTGGTCATTCACGGTGTTTTTTATTTTTATTTTTTTTATTTAATAACATATTAATATTATTTCATGGTGGTTAACATTATTATTTAGTAGGTTCCAATTAGAACTAGAAAATATGTGTTCAAGATATTTTTTTAAAAACTTTTTTTTTAAACTTTCTCTCTCTACCGCACTCGTTCTCTCGGTGCATGTTAGCACCCTGCTAACTGGCGCCACGCTATGGCGAAAACAGTAAGGAAGACGCAGAAGAAAGTTGGTGAAGCGGAGAAAAAGCAGAAGGCGAGTGAAATAGAAGAGGGAATGGTGGATCAGAGTAAGAATTGTCCATTGGGGGATGCAGATCTGGAAGTAAGGATACAGGAGCAAAACCCTAGAGGGGGCAAGGATGTGGTGTCACCGGAAAATAGTAGTGGGAGGTGGGTTTCATGGGCTGAGGCCACTGAGAAACAGCAGGAGGTCAATCCATGGCAGAAATTCGATGGTGGGAAGATGCGAGGGAATGGATCGAATTTGGTTTTCATTCCGCCTCAAGAAATCGAAGGGCGGAAAATCTGTAAGGTGCAAGCTAGCAAAGTTGAAATTGAGGCTCAGTACTGGGAACCTTCAATCGTGTGCTTCGTCTTGGGCTCAAATCCCCTGTATGCAGTCATGAACAAACATGTCAGAAACCTACGGGGTCATCTCGGGATAGATAAGGTAATCTTACTGCTCTCTGGATTGGTTGTAGTACGATTCACTACGATTAATGCACGTGATAAGGTGTTGAATTCTAATTTGTATCACCTGGGTAGCAAGGCATTAGTAATTAAGCCGGTTGAAAAAGGGATAAACTATAGGGAGATTACTAAGGTTCCTGTGTGGGTACAATTGAGGGGTTTGAAATTGAAATATTAGAATACTGACACTTTAAGTAGAATGGCTAGTAAATTGGGGGTTCCAATTATGACTGATGAGCTTACTACCAATTGAGATAGGGTTCAATATGCCAGGATTTGGTGGGAATGGAAACAAAGGATCAGGTTCCTGAACTAATTTGTTTTGAAGATGAGAATGGGAATGTGCAGGTACAGAAGGTAACTTATGAGTGGAAGCCTGTTCAGTGTCAAGGTTGTAAGGGCTATGGGCACTCAGGTGAGCAGTGCATGAATAATCAGGTGAAACAGCAGCCTGTAAGGGTTGGGGAAAGAAGCTTAAGGAGCTCTGATAAGCCTAATGGGAAGATAATCAGTAATGAGGGAGAAAAGATGAAACAGAAAGGAGTGGTGATCCAACAGAGGCAGCAAGGTTATAAAGAGGAGAAGATATACAGACCAGCTGTTATAGGGAGGATGAATGAGAACATAGCCATGAAACAGCAGTTCTGGAATAGCATGTTTGATAGAGGTAGTACATCAGAGAATAAGGAGGTGAAGGAAGTAGAAAGTGAGAGGAGGTAGTTCATACTCTTGACCCTGATCCAGGGATCAATGAGTAATATATTAATATGGAACATTAGGGGCTTGAATGCCCTATTAAAGCAGAAAGAGTTGGATAGACTCTTGGCTGCAAACAGAGTTGCATTAGCATGTATAGTGGAGACAAAAACAAGCAAGGAAAAAGCTGAGGAAATAGGTCAGAAGTGGTGGAATAATCGGCACTGGTATGCAAGTTATGGACCTACAAATAAAGGGAGAATCAGTATTCTCTGGGTTGATTCGGTGGATATGCAAGTACTAAGTAGTGATGAGCAAATGATACACTGTTTAGTTAGGCTGAAGGCAATTGATTATCAGTTTAACTTTACGGGTATATATGCATCAATCTGTGGAGAAAGTAGAAGGAACCTGCGGGGTTGCTTAGTGGAGTTAAGGAAGTTAATCCACATATCCTGGCTTGTAGCAGGGGACTTCAACAACGTACTAAAGCAGGAGGAGAAGTTGGGAGGGAGGCCTGTTATAGTAACTGAAGTGGAATATTTCCAAAAGTGTGTCGATGAGTGTGCTATACAAGACATGAGGCAAATAGGGGCAAGTTTTACATGGTGCAATAAGCAGATTGGATGTGACAGAATCTTGGCAAAAATGGATAGGGCAATGATTAATGAGGAATGGGTTATGCAGCAGAATGAGTCAATTGTGGAAGTAATGGATGAAGGGTTGTCTGATCATACACCACTGTGGAAGTTGGATTCTAAATTTCAGGAAGTGGTGAAGCAAAGCTGGCAGGAACCTGTGGAAGGTACACGAATGTTCCAATTTTCACAGAAACTTAGAAGACTTAAGAATCCACTGAAAATGTTGAATCGTGGTGCCTTGGCAAATGTTCAGGTGAAATGCCACCAAGCTTTTGAGAAATTGCAGGGACTGCAACATGAGTTGGGTCAACATGTTGGGGATATAGAGCTACAGAAACAAGAGAGAGATGCCAATGGAGAATGGATCACAGTGAGTAGAGCACATGAATTATTTCTGAAGCAAAAGAAGACTGGATTAGGGAAGGTGACACTAATACAACCTTCTTTCATGCGAGAATTAAGAAGAAAATGATGATGAATAGAGTTTGGAGTATAACCAATGAGCAAGGGGAGGTGATACATGAATGGGAGCGAATTGAGGAACACTTTATTCAATTTTTTCAGGTTTTGTTGGGACATTCATCTAAGAGGGTGGTAGCAGACAGGACTATCTTTGCTCAGGGGAACAGAGTATCCACGCAGGATCAATTAAGATTAATCAGGCCAGTCACACGAGAAGAAATCAAAGCAGCTCTGTGGGGAATCCATTCAACAAGAGCCCAGGCCCGGATGGTTATGGGAGTGAATTTTTTTGGTCAACATGGAGTACAACTGGGGAGGACCTTTGCAAAGTTGTGGAGGAATTCTTTGAGACAGGTTAGATTTTAAAGCAACTAAATGCCACTATTATTGCTTTAATACCAAAAATTGAAAACCCTAAGGATGCTAGTCAATTTCGACCAATTTCTTGTTGTAATGTCATTTATAAATGCATTACGTAAGGTCATTAGTAATAGGCTCAGTGGTGTTTTGCCTAGTATTATTAGTAGTAATCAGAGTGTTTTTATTCGTGATCATCTTATTTTGCATAATACTCTGATTACACAAGAAATGATTAGACTTTATGGTAGACAGAATATCAGTGGGAGATGTGTAATAAAAATAGACTTAAAAAAAGCCTATGATTCAGTAGAATGGGGATTTGTAGAGGACTGTTTAATAGGTTGTGGTTTTCCTAGTACATTTGTAAGATGGATAGTTACTTGTATAACTACGCCATCGTTTTCATTAAGTCTAAATGGTAGTATTGTGGGGTTCTTTCGAGGGAAAAGGGGTTTAAGGTAGGGAGACCCTATGTCCCCGCTACTTTTTGTAATAGTTATGGAGTATTTTACGAGGCAACTTAAACTGGCGGCGGAGCATCCAAAGTTTAGGTTTCATCCAATATGCAAGGAGTTAAAGTTGACTAATATGTGTTTCGCAGATGACCTGTTAGTTATTTGTAAACCAGATGAGTTCATGGTAAAAACTATTATGCAGTGCTTTAAGGATTTTTCGGCTACTTCTGATTTACAAGCAAATTTGGATAAATCCGATATTTACTTTGGGGGTGTACCAGAAGATATTAAGCTGAAAATAGGAGCACTAACTGGTTTTAGAAAAGGTGTTTTCCCGATGAAATACCTAGGGTTGCCGCTGTCGCCTAAGAAGTGGAATAAGCAGGACTGTCAGAGGTTAGTGGATTGAATTTTTGCTAGGCTCAAATGCTAGAGCACTAGGCATTTATCATATGCTACTCGTTTACAGTTAATAAATTCTGTCTTGTTGCATATGCACGTGTACTAGTCTACTGTGTTTGTCCTGCCTAAGAGTATCTCCGAAAGGGTTAATAAGTGCTGTCGTGAATTTTTGTAGGGAGTCTAGGATTCTGGACACTATGTGGCATTGGTAGGATGGGATACAATCTGTCACCGGAAGAATAAAGGGGGTCTGAGTATTAAAGACGCAAGAGTTTGGAATGAGGCTATGCTGATCAAACAAATCTGGTGGCTAGCACTGAAAAAAGATAACCTTTGGGTCAAGTGGACTCATGAGGTGTACTTAAAATGAGTTGATATCTGGACTGTTGAACCAAAGCAAGATGATAGCTGGCACTGGAAACAACTCCTCAAGCTTCGCGACAGGATAAGGAATGAATTTCAGGGAAGCAAGTGGAACTTAATTAGACTGGAAAATATAGCATCACTGAGGGGTATCAATGGTTGATTGGCAATGCTATACCTTGGATTGAGGCAAAATGGATTTGGTCCCGAATAAATGTGCCAAAGCACTCTTTCATTGCATGACTTATGTGGAAAGGGAGGCTTTGGACAAAGGAAAGATTGCTGCAATGCCAGGTTAGTGTTGTTGATGATAGGTGTGTTCTCTGTAACTCCCAGGTGGAGACTGGGAAACACTTGTTTTTTGAGTGCTGTTATTCCAGCATAGTATTGCAAGCATTAAGGACTGGTTAGGGGTCAGAAGATTGACAGAACAAGATGACAGATGGATAATGGAGCTGAGATCTCTTTGGATGAATGCAAAGCTGAAAAGGAGGATTCTGCTAGCAAGTCTGATGGCTGCCATATACCAACTGTGGGAGGAGCGAAACTGGAGGCTATTTCAAGGGAAAAACAGAACAACAGACCAACTTCTGCAACTCATTAAAGAGGAGATTAGAATCAGGGTTTATTTTTGCTTTCAAAAATTTAGTGTTACAGAAAAGAGAATAGTAGAAACATGGTTTAATGGACTGTAATGTATATGAGTTTTCAGGATGATGAAAATGTAATAGGAATCTGAAAGTAGGATGTAAACAAGTGGAATTGATGGGTGAAATAAAATTCAGTTTACTTTTGACCCAAAAAAAAGATATTTTTTTTAAATACAGTCTTCACAAGGATTATTTGATTCCAAAATAGGGTTAGAATTTAGCGTGGGCGAATCTAACATTATGAATAGGGTTCCAAAAGAAAATTGGTATTTATTTAGAAAAAATAAAAGCAGAGAATGAACTAATGGAGTGAAGGACTACATTTCTATTTGCTTGAATGAATAAAATACATCAGATGCCTTTTTATAAGCCAAAATTTACAAATATGATAATCATGTAAACTAATTAAATTTTATTTAAGTGATAAATATAAATAGTTGCTCACTAGAAGTAACCAACTAGATTAAAACTAATCTAAAACTTCTATCTCTTTTATACTTTATCTTTCAACATTCCCCCACAAACTGAGCGGGGACTGAAGGATTGAAGGCTGAAGGCGCACTTTGTTGTAGAATAGAGTCCACTGGATGTATTACTTGAAACTTGATTTTGAGTTTGTTGTCAATGTCTCATATTATGGATCTGAATCCAGACTTGTGAAGCTGCAATGAAAAAAATAAAATAAAATTTAGTATTGTAGTAGATTACCAATGTCACACAATCTTGTTTTGAAAGAGTGAATGTGATCTCCAATGACCATGTTGCCATTTTTGTGGAGATGTGTGAGTTTTTAATAATTCTCCAGAAAATATGTGTACTTCATTTTTGAGTACTTTCCGGAGAAATATGCGTGTAAAAAACAAACACAAGTCTAAGGAATTTTCTCGGACTTTTTTCATGATTGAAATTTTTTTGAATGCATCCAGATGAGACTTTTAATTTTTTTTTTTTTGTGGTGATGAATGAAATTTGAGGATGAACAAATGGTTGAATTGTGAGTTGATGGATATGTCTTTGGCTCTGTGCGACAATCTCTCCAGGCAATGAATGATTGGTTAGAGAGAGTTTTAGGATGATAAAATTTTGAATATCTATTAAGAGAGATGCAGAAGTCATGATTGATAGATAGATATGTGGAAATAAAAAAAAAGAAAAATAATGGAAAAAAAAATCCAGAAGTCATGATTGATAGATAGATATGCGGAAGAAAAAAAAGAAAATAATGGAAAAAAAATTCCAGACGCAAGATAGAACCTGCTCTGATATCAAGAAGAAAATTGATATTTATTTAGAAAAAATAAAAGCAGAGAATGAACAAATAGAGTGAAGGACTACATTTCTATTTCCTTGAATGAATAAAATATATCAAATGCCTTTTTATAGGCCAAGTTTACAAATATGATAATCATGTAAACTAACTAAATTTTATTTAAGTAATAAATATAAATAGTTGATCAGTAGAAGTAACCAACTAGATTAAAACTAATCTAAAACTTCTATCTCTTTTATACTTTTATCTTTTAAAAGTTCCCACATACATAAAAACTACAATCCTTATGATTATTACAATTTAAGAGTGCCCCCTGACTTTCTCCGTTATTTGAAGGTCCTTCCAAAGAAACCTAGGTTAATTAATTCAGCGATAACCACTCTTTACCGTCATGGTTTCAACAGATCTAAAAAATATATATTCTCTGGTAACTATTAAAGTACCAGAATGGGTTTTACTAGTTTTGTGTATTGTGGCAGCATGGTTTTTGCTAAATTATACAGTTTGCATGATATTCAGCTTCGTTCCTGAATGGGCTTTTGGTGTGGTTGCAATTCTTATATTTGCCATGATCATAAGCCAGGGATGAGAGGAAGATGTATGAGTCAAGACGTCTTACTCTCAAGCACAAACAATGATCAAAGAAAATTGGAGAACAACAATTTAAGCTACTTCAATCTCTTTATTTTTATTTTTTTCAGATGAGTTGTAATGGTGATGCTTCAAATTATATTGGGGTTTTTTTTTTTCTTGTCATGATATAAACCCAGTGACAGTTCTCAATTCGATCTTTTTCTACTGTTTATTTATTTAAATTAATGTCAGTTTCCATCTGGTTATAAATTTCATAATCGTTTTTTTAGATATAACACGAAAACCATGAAATAGATAGCTATAGATGACTTGCTATCTTTTTTCAAAAGATTTATGCTTATCGTATTGAAAGATTACAACGTACGAGTGGGAAGGACCGAGTAGCAAAACTCATAAAATCAATTCCAACTCTTATCCTTTCTTCCACACTATATATTCTACCATCGGACCAAGCAACCATTTAGAAAATGTGATGCCCGAAAGTAGTTCGTTTATTACTACGTGGACTAAACGGTTAGAACTTGGGAATAATTAATGAAGTGGATACTACTATGTGCCACTGTTTAAGAAAATTAATTAACTTATTTTGTTATACTATTTTATTAATTCAAAATAAAAATAAACAATTATTTTGATTCGAAATAAGTATCTGTTTGACAACATTTGAGTAAATGAACAAAAAGATTGGGATTCACAGTTTCAATCTCATACTACAACAGCATCAAATAAATATATAGCGAACTACCACAACAACCACAATCAAACAGAGCCAACATGAAATTTTACTTTAAAAGTAAAAAATCATTCCTCCCGTCTCATTAAAAAAACACATTAGTTCTATTGAACGTGGTTTATGTATTATAAATTAGACTCTAAATTTGATACACATGAAATATAACTAAATGTCAACGACTATATGAACGTAGCTAACAGTCATTTGCGACATCCTTCTTTTAAAGCTTTGTCATCTTACTCAACTCCCTCTTTTAAAGTGAGAGCATCCATTATATTCTTATTCCTCTTAAGAAAACCATAATCGTACCGGATATAAATATGTTTATGCTTCAGTGAACCGGAACGTTAAACACAAACTACAGTAGAAACAAATTTCTATGAAACCAAAAAAGATAAACGAAATGAAAAAGTGGGAGTAGTAAGTTGAAGCCATGATCGAAGGGTGACAAAGTCCTTAGTAAGAATAAGCAAATTATAATTGCAAATAGGAGAGGTTGAACTTTTGTTAGGTGCAATGCATTTCCAAAGATAATGGTAAGAAATATTAGTAACTCTCTCGAAACAGACCTATCTGGCTACCCTTCACAAGAACCAGGTTAATTTGTAGCTTATATTTGCTTTGAAGTTTGAAAGGTTTTCATACCGGGGCTCAACAAATTCAAAGCAAAGGATCGTGACGTTCAATGTGTTATATAACGAGGAAAAAAAAAATTCTTTCGTCCCAAAAAAATGATTCACTATGTTGAACTAAAATTGTACAATAAAATAGATTATTTTATTAAATTTTTCTTTTAGTAAAATATGAATTTTCATTTAAACATCAGCAGATTATGTACAAGCTTTGAAGCACCATCATACATTAATTCCTAAGGCTTCTAGGAATCTAATGTCATCTCCGTTACCATTTCTATACAAAGCTTTGATCCTCCACTTCATCACATTCATCATCTGCATCATTCTGCCTTGAAGAGATTCAGTTTTTCTGCAAATCTTTTGCAATTCCTCTCCTGGCAAATATTGTACACCACATCAATTATTCCTGCATGGAAGACTCTTTTCTTCAGCCGTATATCTCCAAATCCTGCTGATTATGTTGACATTGAGGCTTCCAGTCCTGGTCTGAATTCCTAACCAATCCAACGTTTGCTGCAGCAGCTCTTAGCATATTAGCATTGAAGAACAGGTGCTCCAGATTTTCTTCTAAACTGCTGCGTAACACACATTGCACTTCTTGAACTTCTACATTCAGTTTCTTCAATCAGTCTGTTGTTAATATCCTTCCTCTCCAGGCCAACCAGCTTACATAGCTATGCTTTGGTATTAAAATCTATTCCATATTATAAAAGCTGATCTGAATTTCTATTTATCACCTCTAAGCCATTTATAGCCTGACTTGGTGGTGTATATTCTTCCTCCATCAATTGACCATCTTCCACTTATTCCTTATTTTCATCAACTTCCTCCAGTGCCAACTGCAGTCATTTGGAGGTTGGTAATTCCAAACTGAACTTCCTTTTAAATGATAGCAATGCATCCATTTGATCCATAGACTTTCTTTCTTATTCTCCAAGTCCCAGATTTGCTTCCCAAACATTGCTTTGTTCCACATTTTTGGTTCCTTGATATTCAGACCTCCTTCTGCTTTTCTTCTACAGACATCATCCCATGCTACAAGTGGCCAACTCTTCCCACTATGTTTAACCCCCCAAAGGAACTGTCTGCACCTTGTAGTAAGTTGCTGAATTACACTCTGTGGAATCGGGAAAATGCTTGCACAATAGGTATGCATTGTCATCTACACAACATTAATCAAAGTTTTCCTTCTAGCATATGATAGATGGCTGGATGACCAACATTTAATTCTTGTTGTGATCTTGTCAATGAGACACTAACAATCTCCTTTTGTCCATGCTGTTGGAGAGATTGGAAGGCCAAGATGCCTCATAGGGAATCTCCCAATCCCAAACCCCAGTTCAATACTCTTCCTCATTTGCAACTTTGCCTCCGAAATATAAACTAGATTTACTCAGGTTGATCCTCAAACCAGTTGTTTCTGCAAATCTAATAACCTCTTTTTAATTCTCTTTATTGTATGTAGTTCTACTCCGAAGGTCATCTGCAAAGCTGAGAGCTATGATCTTCATTTTTTCACAGTATGGATGCCATTGGAAACCATCTCTTGCTACTTCAACCTTTAGTAATCTTGTTAGATATTCCATAACCAACACAAAAAACAAAGGAGAAATAGGATCACCTTGCCTTAATCCCCTCCTTCCTCCAAAGAAACCAGTGCTGGTCCCATTCAGGTTTAGTGAAAAAGAACATGTAGCTACACTAACCATCACCTATTGTATAAACATGTTAGTAAAATATTATGTAGTATCAGTCTGTCCTTCACAAAGGCTCCTTGATTTTGATCAATCAGTTGATTAATCTCTTACACAGCATCTTGGATACACATTTATAGACAGTGTTGCAACAAGCTATAAGCCTATACTCAATATAGATGATTTTTAATGAGATAGAGCTGAAGTAGCAAAAATAATACTCCAACTGTCCTAAAAAATTAGTCCACATTGATTTTGAGGTTTGTAATTTTTAGTACTTCCTCCATTATGTCGTTAGAAAAAAAAACTCATTTTTTGTCAAAATATATGCCGTTTCGCATATCGAGGCATGTTAGAAGTATATTAGAACTAAACAATATTAGAAATAGAACTCCATTGAGAGTAAACAAGAGTAATTTCGTATTTTAATCAAGTATTTATTGTCTTCTTAAATTTTATGCAATTCCTCCAGCAACATCTATTTTGGAATGGGGGAAGTATTATTTTTCTGGGACTGAGAGAGTAATAATGGATATGAGAATTAATTATTGCAAAGAATTCCGAGACCATAAATTTCCAATGAATAAAACTTTTTATTCACCCAAAGTAGTAACTTGGACAATATCATCAGGAGGCAACCAAGCACTCACGAGCAAAACATGTAAACACTCTTTTAGCCAAACCCTTAAGATGCTTCGGCTTCCATCGAGGGACAACAGAAACCGAGCTTTTGATGTAATTGTAAGCAACAAAGTATTGTGCCGACGATTCCGGCAAACTTCCAGGACAAGTTACTGATCCTCCACCAGCTGCTGGTAGAACATCAATGGTTCCGGTCACGAAATCATAAACCACCAGATTTGTTCGGCCTCCCTGCTTATAGGCCAACAACATTTTGCTGTTTGTGTTGATGACGAATTTATCATTGTACAAAAATGTTGGTACCACAAACAATTGCCTCACCCATTTATAACCACCATGAATAAAATCCTCCACCATAGACCACATTTTCAGCTCCTGAATCTTAAGCTCTGCATTTTCCCAACCCGAAACAGAAAGAAATCCTCTAAAACCACTAAGCTGATATCCGTGGCGAATTGTTACATAATTTGGTAATTCCAGGGCAACTCGAGAACCATTTGTTAAGTCGACTTTGTACACAATAATTGGTTCATTCTCTAGGGTTTTGCCTTCATAAATGTGTGAATTTCCGATACTCCTCCTCCCGTGAGTCCAGTAAAAACATTTGTTATGAATCAAACCCGTTGCAAGAGGAGGACGATTTAAAGGACAAGAAATAGTAATAAGTTCCGTGTTAATCGTCTTCCAACAGCCATCTCGCAGACTATAAACATCAACATTTGAATATAACTGTTTCTTCTTCTTGCCCTCGGATTTAGTAGTCGAATAGACTTTAACTACTTTGTGATCGTTGCAAGAATCATCAAACCCGAACCCTCTCGCAATGGCGAAAACGCTTCTGTGCACGGTCGTGGGTAGGATTTTGAACTGGTGTAATGCGGGATTCCATAGAGATATGGAAACCTCCGAGTGACAGCCGATGCAACGGCTTTCGATGCATAAAATACCGTCGCAACAGCCCACCAAGTTGGCGGAGTCAGCTACCTCGCCTTGATTTGAAGCTAGGAGGGGTTCGTCGTCCACTTTTATGAAGTGGGATCTCTTGTGCCCTAATAAATAGTTATGGTAACAGGTGTTAGTGTATGTATATATTAGGGTTAGTGTGGGGGTATTGTTGTAATCCTACTGTAATCATGTACACTATATATATGTTAAATCAATACAGAATGACCTACGGGTTTCACACATCTTCATGGTATCAGAGCGCTTTCCTGGGACATCAATTTTTTAAGGTATTCTGCCGCGCCGTTCTTTCCTCTCTTTGTCGGCGTTCGTAGTCTCTTCTTCCAGCAACCCCTCTGTCCTTCTCTTTTGCTCAAGTATCACTCTCCATCTGTTCTCCTCTCTTGTGGTTGCTGCTTCTCATCATTTCCTCCGCCAATCCACCACTGCCTGCTCTTCTCCGACGTTGTTGCATTCTGCCGCTGCCGGTGTTGAATTCTGCCGCTGCCACTGCCTGTTACTTATCCACCTCTACTGCTGCTGCAATCCTCATTCAAATGTGCTCTTCTCGGCGTTTCTCTACTGCTGCTGCACTTTTCTGCTGCGGCATCTCCTGGCGTTTCTCTGCTACTACACTTCTCCTCTTGGTGGTTCTTCAACTTGGCCGTTGCACTTTTCTTCTTGGCCGTTCTGCCGTTGTTGTTTTTGGTCTTCATCTTGCGTTGTTGCACTTCTGATCACGTGTGTTGATCTATTGTTCTCTGATCAGTTGTACGTCTGCAGCAACTTCTTCTTCTTCCCATGGCAAACGGCGAAGGTGCTAATGATCCGAACACTCCTTCTTCGTCCCGTGTTACTGCTGCTTTCTCTTCTGCTTCCTCTCCTGTCCCTCGTCATCCCGCCTTCTCCCTCAACAACATCAAGAATCACGTCTATGAGGTTTTCAATTTTTCCAATTACTTAATTTGGCGAGAACTTTTCATTCTGGTTCTTCAAGGGCATCAAGTTTTTTGCTTTGTTGATGGTACCAATCCTTGTCCTCCTCTTGGTAATCCTGACTATGATCAATGGGTTCAGATTGATTCTCTCGTGCTCTCTTAGATTCAGGCCACTCTCTCTCGTGAGATTTTACTCAATATTATCACTCCGGGTACTTCTCTTACTGCTCAATCTGCTTGGGACAAGATTGAAAAGATTTTTTGTGATCATGTTGAGTCTAGAATCGTTCATCTTCGTCAGGAATTTTATCATTGTGAAAAGGGTGATCTCTCTATGTCTACTTTCTTAGATCGTCTGAAAGAATTGTATGATTGTTTGGTCTCTATCGGTGATTCAATAACCTATCGTGATGTTGTCATGCAAGTTGTTATGGGATTGGGTCCTGAGTATAATGCAGCCACTTCTCAGATTTCCGCTCAAAAGCCACTTCCGACTTTTGATGAGTGTCGTTCATGGCTTCTGTTTGAAGAAACCAAATTGGCAAAACAACATCAGAGAGCCACGTTGGGTTCAGCTTCTTCCCAAGTCCTTGTTGCTCAGCCGGTTTCTTCGCCGAATGTTGCGTCTATTCCTTCTCATGCTGCCTATGCCGTAGCTCCTTTTCAGTCTTCTTCGTCATCTGGAGGACGATGTGGAGGTGGTCGTCGTGGAGGAGGTGGTCGTGCAGGATGGCAGCAACCGGGCTTTCGTCCGAATCCTCCTGCTTCTTTGATTCTTGGTGCACCTCCCCCTTATGGGAGTCCCGCGCCTGCACTTCCTCAATTCCAGCATTCTGTCTAATGCTACAACTGCCAAGGTTATGGCCATGTTGCCCGGTTATGCCCTTCTGTTGTTATGAACGCAAGCCACTCTGCTACGACATTTAATGCATATCCGTCTTCCTCTCAATCTGTTACTCCATGGCACTTTGACTCTGCTGCAGGCGCAACTATGACGAATGACTCTGGTAAGCTTACCAATTTATCACCATATTATGGTCCTGATAAAGTATGTGTTGGCAATGGTGCTTTGCTTCCTATTGAATCCCTTGGTACTTCCAATATATCCACTTCTAGTCGTTCTTTAGCTCTTAATAATGTTCTTTATGTTCCCTCTCTTACTGCGAATTCAATTTGTGTTTGCCATTTCACTACTGATAATCATTGTTCTGTAGAATTTGACCCCTTTGGTTTTTCTGTTAAGGATCTCACAACAAAGATGCAACTTCTTCGGTGCAATAGTTCTGGACCTCTCTATCCTTTCGTTGATTGCCCTACCTCCTCTTCGGTTCCGGCCTTAGTTGCACATCGATCCACTTCCCAAATCTGGCATCGTCGATTAGGTCACCCTGGCCAGCGTGTTTTGGCCAACTTAATAAATGCTTCTCTTATTTCTTGTCCTAGTTCTACTTTAAATTTGTGTCATGCTTGTCAATTAGGGAAACATGTACGTTTACCCTTTGAGTCATCTTTGTCTCGGGCTACTATGCCTTTTGAGCTTCCTCATTCTGATGTGTGGTTTTCTCCAGTTGTCTCTCCTACTGGATATAAATATTTTGTTACTTTCTTGGATGTTTATACACATTATTCTTGGGTGTTTCCTCTTTGCTCCAAATCTGATGTTTTCTTTTGTTTTCGTAACCTTTATGCTCATGTCCAAACTCAATATAATGCCGTCATTCGTAATTTTCAATGTGATCAAGGAGGTGAATATGAAAATAATTCCTTTTTGCAATTCTTTCAAACTAATGGCATTCACCTCCGCTTGTCTACAACTGCTTGTTCTCAGCAAAATGGTAAAGCTGAACGTCTTAATCGTACAATTGTCAATATGGTTCGAACTCTTTTATTTCAGGCTTCTATGCCTCCTCTTTTCTGGGTTGAAGCTCTTCATACTGTCACCTATCTTCTCAATCGCCTTCCCACTTCCCTCTTATAGAATAAAACTCCTTATGAGGTTCTTCACCATAAACTTCCAACATGATCACTTGCGGACTTTTGGGTGTGCATGCTACCCTAATCTTTCTCACACCACCCATCATAAGTTAGCCCCCCGTTCTATTTTGTGTGTTTTTCTGGGTTATCCTTCCCACCACAAAGGCTATCGTTGTCTTGATCTTACTACTAATAAGGTCATCATTTCTCGTCATGTTGTTTTCGACGAGAACGTCTTCCCTTTCACTTCCCTTTCTTCGTCTAGTTCCTCCTGTAACTCTTCTTTTCGTTTGCGTTCGTCACACATTCTGCCTGCTCTTTCTCCACCTACTTTTTCCTCAATCTCTTCGCCTGTCCCACCTTTAGTAACTCCTTCCTCTCTTCCGACACCTCCCTCTTTAGTCATTTCTCCTCGCTCGGAGCCTCCTCTATCTTCTCCAACTCCTTCCCCTCCCTTAGTTTCCTCTCATGTTCCTTCTCATCATCCTATGGTTACTCGGGCTAGGGATGACACTCGTAAACCCAAGGTGATTTTCAATTTAGCTAGTACTATTGCTGACTCTCCTTTGCAGGTTCCCACCACATATCGCGAGCCTTGTAAGTTTGATGAATGGCAGCAAGCAATGAATGATGAGATTGCTACCTTGTCTCGCAACAATACTTGGACTCTTGTTCCTAAACCTCCTGATGTTAATGTGGTTGGCTCGAAATAGGTGTTTCGGGTTAAAGAAAAGTTGGATGGCTCCTTGGATTGCTACAAAGCTCGTCTTGTTGCTCAGGGATTTTCTCAGCGTCCTGGTATTGATGTTGGTGATACTTACAGTCCCGTGGTTCGTCCTGCCACCATTCGGACTGTCCTCTCTCTGGCTCTTTCGCGGGCCTATTCATCAGCTTGATGTCAAAAATGCATTTCTACATGGCCTCTTGACTGAGCCTGTCTACATGAAACAACCACCCGGCTTTATTCATCATCAGCATCCGGACTATGTGTGTAAGCTCAATCGTGCTCTTTATGGTCTCAAGCAAGCACCTCGTTCTTGGTTTCACCGGTTTGCTTCCTATATTGCTTCGCACAGTTTCTGTTCTTCCAAGTCCGACTCATCTATGTTTATTTATCGCAGTGGTGCAGATATGGCTATTCTTTTGTTATATGTTGATGATATTATTCTTACTGCCTCTTCTTCTCCCTTGTTAGCATCCATTATTGCTACTTTACGGAAGGAATTCGCTATGACTGACTTGGGTGATCTACACTACTTTCTTGGTATCTCTGCTACCCGTACTTCTGATGGTCTATTTTTGTCTCAATCCAAGTATATAGCCAATTTATTAAATCGCTGTCAGCTTTCTTCGGCGAATTTGTCCCATACACCTATTGACAGTAAGAGTAAGTTGTCTCAGACTGATGGTGATTTGTTTCCCGATCCATATGAGTACCGCAGCATTGTTAGAGCTCTTAAGTATATCACTTTTACTCGTCCTGACATTGCTTATGCGGTGCAAAAAGTTTGTCTTTTCATGCACGAGCCTCGTGAACCTCATTATAAGGCCGTCAAGCGTATTCTTCGCTACTTGAAGGGTACTCTTCACTATGGCCTCACTCTCCATCCTACTTCACTTGATCAGCTTGTGGCTTATTCTGACGCAGACTGGGCTGGTTGTCCTGATACTCGACGTTCCACGTCTGGCTACTGTGTCTTTTTGGGTGCTAATCTTATTTCCTGGTCCTCTAAACGGCAACCTATAGTTTCTCGTTTGAGTGCTGAGGCTGAGTATCGGGCTGTTGCCAATGCAGTTGCTGAGCTTTGCTGGTTGCATTCCTTACTCTCCGAGTTGTCTTTTTCTCTGTCCACCGCCACGGTTGTTTTCTGTGATAATGTTAGTGCTATTTTCATGTCCACTAACCCTGTTTAGAATCTCCGCACGAAGCATGTCGAGATTGACATTCATTTTGTCCGCGAGAAGGTGGCCCTGGGTGATATCCGTGTTCTTCATGTACCCTCTTCTCGTCAGTTTACTGATATCATGACGAAAGGCTTACCTCATGTTTTATTTACAGATTTTCGTACCAATATGAATGTTCGATTACCTCCCGTTCAGATTGCGGGGGGATGTTAGTGTATATATATATTAGAGTTAGTATAGAGGTATTGTTATAATCTTACTGTAATCATGTACGGTATATATATGTTAAATCAATACAGAATGACCTACGGCTTTCACACATCTTCAACAGGGACCAAAGTGTTCGAGTTTTATGGAATCTTCGCCGTCTTTAAATCTTGGCCGGGAGAATAACAAATTTCTTGGTGGCAGATTCTGATTGCGGGGGTGGTTGTCCTGATTGGAGCTGATATATTATCAGGCATTGTGTTAAAAGATGATGGTTTTAATTTGCCAAAAATAAAACCAAACAGATTCACAGAGAAGAAAAAGAAAGTTTATTATATAGCAAATTTGTTACTCTTGAACAGCCCTATTCTTATTTGGTATAGGATTTCGCTATTTTTAGACAATTTTGCTCTATATTATTCTCTTTTTTTTGAAGAAAAACAATTATTTGCTTAAATTAAATCGTAAAGCACAAGACTCGTGGCATTTTACTTTATCTTATTTTTTTGGTAAAGGGTTGATTTCCTTGGGAAAAGTACGTATATCACTTCCTTATCATATCATTATCAAAGTGTCATTTTACTCTTTTTTTTTCAAACAATGTAATAAAATTAGTGAATTTGATATTCCAAAGTAGGGGCCGAACGAATGTCACCTTATAAATTGGGTTCTTACGGCCTAAACACATTAGGCGTGCATAAAGACATCACCTCATTACAAACTTTTCTTTTTTTTTTTTGGTTATTACTATTATTCTTGAATTTTTCTTCTTGTTCACTAGTTATTACATTTTCAAGACTTTTTCATATAGTACTATTTCCTTCATCCTACACATTATTATACTCTCTCTGTTCAAAAAAATAGTACACATTGAGTTTTTAAATTTGTACTAAAACTAATGCAAACCTCAAAATTCAATGTGGACTATTTCTTCGGAATGGAAGTAGTATTAGATATGTATACATAGTTAGATCCATTGATAAAATTTTAAGGATCCTTAGGAAGAAAAACCAAAAACAAAAGTTTTTTTAAAAAATAAAAAATCTAGGTTATTACGTTTCGTATCACTCGTTAACGTCGTGATTCCGGTATCTTCGAGAATCTCTTCTGTCGCTACAAAGTGCCAGAATGGATTATTTTGGTTTTCTGAATAGTTTCAGCAGGGGTTGGGCTAAAGTTTATAGTCAGCATGACAATTTGTTCCAGAATGCATGGGTTTTCGTATGGTTGCAATTTTTATATTATCCTCATAATACTAATTATGAGCATAACGGATTATGAGCCATTTAGCCACCCCAGTGGCAAAGGAATGATATTTGGAATATTTGTATGTAATCCATCCTGTTCCTTTACAAATTAGTGATTTGATCCTTAATCCCTATTACTAATGTGCGCGTGCGCCCTCTTTTTGTTGTCCATCAGTGTTATAATTTCTTTGGTGTGGGAGATGATCTACGTTCGGACGTCTTACTCCAGGAAGAACCATGAACAAAGAAGACTGATGGTGAACAAATTTTTTATATACATACACACACACATATATATATATATATATCTATAATATTATACTAAGAGAGAAAGCAGAGAGAGAAATTCAAACTTCTCCTCATGTTGACACGTAGGACAAAATCCTATTTGTCATTTTCTTATAGGTTGACAGAAAAATATTTACAACAATTACACTAACAATCCTTTGAATTTTCAGTAAATTAAGTATTATCAAATCGCAATTAATTCTACCAATCAATTGGGTGGTAAACTTTTTATTTTGTATTTGGTCAAGTAAAAAAACCGGTACATTTTTTTAAAAAGTCAACATTAATAGTTTCTTTCCATGTGGTGTTATAAAAAAAAAGTAAATTTTGATTTGATTCATTTATAATTTAATGTTGATTGATTTGAATAAATTTCCCAATAAGCTTGAATAAAGCTCCACTGTAATACTTTGTATTCACACAAAAATATGAAATTAATGCCATTACGTATTAATTTGATCAATAATTAATGTTAATATCTTTTGAAATTTGAAAATAATTAATACAATATCATAACTATTCTTTTAGCCTTTAAAATTAGGGGTATAAATGATTCCTTAAAATTAATGTATGGTCCATTAATTATCAAATCCCATAATTGAGACTAATATAGGATGATATGATCAATATTGGGAAATCAGTCTATGAAAATATTATATAGCTTTCTCCTATCCCCTAATCCCCTAATAGCTTCTGCATTTTCTCCCCTTTTTCTGATTATGATTGAAAATAAGATTGCCTTTGGTTATTGTATTTCTTTTCAGGTCCAAGAACAAGAATATACATTAATAACTCCATTCCAATGGTAGTGAGTACTGGAGAATCCCATTCAAGTTCTTAACATGTGGAGGGCTTGCGTATGATCCTTGATGCACTGTGTTTGTGGGCTCAGGTTGCGTCCACTGAAGCTTTGTCAATCGATAAGGTTAAGCAAAATATTTCATGAGAACATATCTATTCATTTATATTTTCGACAATTTAATGATGGATGTTTGTTAATACTATTTTCAGTGGCACAAGATCCATGTTTTTGTTTCCAAGAAACTAATGTGAAAGTTTCAAATGCGACGGAAGAAGGGAGAACCAAACTCATCTCCAGTTCAAAATTGTTAAGATAAGAATTCTAAATTGGGTAGGAGAAGTAGAAGGGAAAAAGAAAAGAAAGAATGATGAGAAAAGTATTGGAAACTGTTGACAGAATGATGAGAATATTGGCAATCGGAAGTAAAGAAAGAACGTACTCAAAATTGTTGACAAAAAGTATTAGTGGAAAAAAAATAAAATAAATCAACACCATCATTAGAGACCATTTATTTTTTCTTTGTTTTTTTAAGTATAGCTAAAATTACTTTTTCTTTAAGATTTACATTTTCTGTGTAATGGATATTGAAATCTGAAAATGTCCCGTAATAAGTGAATTTGAAAAACGTCAAAAAGGTTCTCCAATAATACCCGTTTCATTTTTCAAAATGCAAACAAATGTTGTATGCCTTGCATTTTTGTAAATGTATTTATTAAGTAGTCTTTTTCATATACTTATTTTTTCATATTCTAATTATTCTAAAAATTGTATTAAAAACATTTTACTTACCCCGCACATCGTGCGGGTTTAACATCTAGTATATATATAAAAGTTGTTTCATTCTGTTAATGTCTATTTTTCAAGATGGCCTCGTAATGTACTTGAAAAATAATTTTTTATTTTTCGTCATGATATGCATAGATCCTAATAATGTAATTCTCATTTTTTTTTAATTTATTTTTTGGTGGAGAATTATTATAATAATTTTTTGAATTTTTCCACCTGATTCGCCTCATTTATTTTTCTACTTTTTCCCCCCTTTTAAAGTTATACATGTTATTAGAACTTAATAGTCAATCAAAACCCCATAATCAGATATTCAAAATCAAATGTTACAGTTACTCTTCCTATTGTATCGTTTTGTCACATTGTTGTCCAATATCGATGTTTGAGATTTTCTACTAACTCCATCTTGTGGAGGGGATGTAAAGAATGAGGAAAGTTTCTACTTCCATTGTACATCAGGCTGGTTCAAGTTCAACAGATCATGATGCTACTGTATAGTCTAAGTTTCTAGTGTTAGCGTTAGTCCTCATTTTGTATAGCCAAGTAAACTCTAGGGACTTCTTATGTGAATAATTTCATCTTGCATAGTTGATTTATTTATTTCTTTTGTGCATAGTTGATTTATTGGATTATACTTGTAGTTAGTGCCTGTCTGTCTGATTATGAATAAATACCATCACACTGTACAGATTCATTTTTCTTGACAATTCAACATCAATTCACTTCGTAAATTGAATAATTAATTAAATATAGACATACATAAAAATGTATAATTGACTTATGACCGCCGAATCTCCCATCATCGGATTCATGCATTTGTCTTGATAGACTGATTCTGTATCATTTGTTGCTGCGTGGTTAGCCATTACCTCTGATTTAATTTCTGCATGATTTTTTTTTTAAGTTGGAGTTGACTGATCATTTCATAATTTTATATATGCACATATTATATAGTTATAACTTATAAACATGAATGTTAATCACTTTCTTATGTACAAAAATCTCATAATCCGCCTAAATTCAGCTAACTTCATTACTAGTTAAATTTACAAAAGAATTCGAGTGACATAACATATCAATAGAAAAGTTTCAATACTAGTACTTCACCTCAAGAGTGCTGGATTCTAAATGCTGAATCTAATTCTATATTAAAAAAAAAAACCATTGACCAAACAATTGATTAATTACTAGCATAAATAAGGTTCCAACTGCACCAACTATAACATCGATCATTTGTGATTTTACACCTTGCTTCCTAAACGCTTTTCAGAGCCATTATCACTAGAAGTTGTTCATAAATTTCATCACTTCAAAAATTCTCCTCTTTTTCCCATCTTCCCTTCACAAAATCTGAAAATCATGATGGGTTTTGGTTATTTTCCCTCCCAGACATATTATCTGTGGGTAAACCTCCTAGGTAGTATGTTTCTGTTCGCTTTTTGGCCATCAGTTTGAATGGACATTTGAATAGAAAGAGCAGTATCAACTCCTGAAAAGAAAAACGAAACAAAAGAAAAGCGCGCGCGCGCGCACACACACAAACACACACACTCCTGAATTTTCAAGAGAAATGGAGAGAATAAGATATCCAGATGTGGATTTGAGGGAGCTGAGTATCATGAGTTCGGACAGCGAAACTGTTGAGGAAAGGTCTTCAACTACGGGTTCATCAATTGTTTCATCGCCTTTTCCAGCTCTAATTAATGATGAAACGGTTTATGTTGCTGTCGGGAAAGAAATGAAAGAAGCTGTGTATGCATTCTCTTGGGTATTGGATAATCGCAGACCAAACAAAATTGTCATTCTTCATGTTCATCAGCCATCTCAGACCATTTCAATGGGTAATTATATACTATTATTGCATGCTATCATTGTTAGTATATTCCACTTTAATCTTCCTGAATGGTTCCTATTTTCTTGGGATTTGCTTGATTTCACTCTTTTCCATCAAGAGGGCAGGTTCAAATAATGTTTTAAGTTTTGATAGTCCGCAATTTCTTCCAATGCAGTAGACAATAACACATAAGACCATGGAAGGATTAGAAAGGAAGTGAATATATAAGATTATCTTTTTACCTACATGTTTGCATGTGATTTCCAAGGGTGGATTGGTTTCTCACGAGGTTTTTTATGTTTGACAACGTATAAGATACGTATGTTAACAGATAAAAATGTGTAGTTTCTTTTTAAGCTTTGATTTCTTGGGTAATATTGTTTAGCATTGCAGGAAACTCCCAGTAAGTTTGAGAGAAGGCTCTTTTAGTAGCAACCTTTGGCTTATTTGTTTCCTTTTTTTTTTTCGTTTTTCAACTCATCTAAATTTCAAGGAGGGGATCCTGTACTATTCAAGTGTAACTAGGTAGCCACAGATGACTTTGTTCATGCATTAGTAATTGTGTGTGTGTGTGTGTGTGTGTGTGTATTTTCTGTTTGTGTGAGACACAGAGAGTGTGTGATTATACATAAAAGAGTTTTTCTTGCTGGTGTGTGCTTGAGATGTGAAAGAATGCATGAAATATTGGCACATTGTTTATTTTTGTGGTGAGAGCATTAATGTCTTTGTGGTTCTTGTTGCTTAACTTGATCTGAGAAGAAGTTCCAACCGTTCTCTCTTGAGAAATAATGATCACCTTTCTTGATTGCCACTGTGTTATCTATGTGAATGTGTCTGTTGGCTTATCATATTCTCGTTATGCAGTGGACGGACCTCCCATCATTCGGATACATCAACGTGTTAGAGATCATCGTGAAGCTGAGAGGAAAGATGCACAAAAGATTCTTGATAAATACATATTACATTGTCAGAAAGCAGGGGTAACTTCCCTTTAGTCTTGTTTAAATTTTTAGGTCTCTCTAGTGTTTGATTTGATCTCTCATTAGTATACAATTCTTTGAAGGTACAAGCAGAAAAACTGTTTGTTGAGATGGAGTCAATTGAAAAGGGCATTGTGGAACTGATATCTGTGCATAATATTAGGAGGCTGGTAATGGGAGGCGCCGCGAAAAAACACTATACAAAGTAAGATTTGTAATATGCTTTGCATACGTTATTGAGCATACTATTCTTTCATTGTTACTGACAACATTGTGTCTGATTTTTCGGCTCTGATATCTTTTTACATCGTTTGTTGAAGCAATGTTATATTTAAATGCTCTCATGTACACTCCTGGCTGCAGGAAATTAATGGAGTTTAAGTCTAAAAAAGCCATCTATGTGCGTCAAGAAGCTCCTCCTTTCTGTCAAATTGATTTCTTATGCAAAGGGCACCTGATATACACAAGGTACAAGCTCTTTCCAGATATAAGTTGTACTAAACATCCTATCTTGATATTTTCTCTTGGGTACACCTAAATTTATCCATCGAAATTGATATGCTTCTGGTCACTTTCTTTACAGAAAGTTGTTAAGGAATTCCTATGAATTGCATTACTATTATTGAATTTGTCATCCACAGGGAACCTATGCTAGTTGGACATGACACAGAAGGCATGATTACATTACTTCAGGTTAGTCCAAGTACTGATCAAGCTGAGAAATCTCATTCCTCGAGATCAAAGTCTGTCACTGAACGTCTAAGTTATCAGTTGGTTCCATCGGAATCAGCTGTTGATCATGCCCGAGTAATGTCTGAAAATCTTGGCACTCCTGGACATCCTCCCAATGAGATAATTGGAGTTGTACCCTCTCCTAGAAGTTCAAGTGTGGAAAGGAGCAGTGATGTGTTGTCACAAAAAAGTTTATCTTTGATTTCATTTGTTTCCTCTTCATCAAGTGAAAGAATGGATGACACAGCTCCAGTTTCCAACACCAGGACTGAGGGAAATGTTAATGAGTTACATGGAGATGCCCCTCTTCATTCTGAGAAAGATGAATCTAACACATCTTTTCGGCCTGAAGAGGTAAGTAGGAAAAAAGTTCATATTGTGATCCTTTTTGACTACCATATATGCAGTTTTTGAGGTTTTCCTGTAGGAAGTTAATGATGTTAGAGCTTTTGTAGGAAGGAACCGTGAATGACGAACTTTATCATAAACTCCACCAATACATGGTGGAGGCAGAAAATTGCCGACAAGAGGCATATGAAGAAACAACCAAGTGTAGAAAAGCTGAAAGAGAAGCTATTGAGGCTAGGTTCCAGGTATGTACCTTACAGAATAGCTTCCTTCAGATGTGAACTCTCTTATTATCTGAAGTTAATTGTATGGAGAAAAGTAATGTTTTATGGTTGGGGGGAAAACACACACACTATACTTCAGAAGTTCCATAGAAGTTTATCTATGAGATACCAATTATGGCTTAGAAACAAAAATCAATCTTTGTATTTCTAACAGGCTAAAGCATCAGAATCAAGATGTGCAGAAGAAGTTAGAAAAAGAAAGGAAGTTGAGGAAGCACTAGCCCTGCAAAAAAAGGAAGTTGAGAAAATGAGATACCAATTAGATGAGATCAAGATGAAACTTGGAATTTCTATGGAACAGAAGTCCTCCCTGGAGATCCAAATTAAGGCTTCTGCGAAGATGGTCCACGAGTTGGAACAGAAAATGTCCTCTGCTGTTGAGCTACTGAGAAAGTACAAGAATGAAAGAGATGATTTGCAGGTGGAGTGTGACAAAGCACTAAAGGAAGTTATGGAGCTAAGACAAAAACATGCTGAGAAGGAATCAAGTTCATCCATGTCGTATCTTTTTTCCGAATACCTTTTCTCAGAAATCGAACAAGCAACTTGCCATTTTGACCCGGCATTGAAGATTAGTGAAGGAGGTTATGGAAGCATTTACAAGGGCTTTGTTCGTCACACTCACGTGGCGATAAAGATCCTAAATCAGGATACTTTGCAGGGCCCTTTGGAGTTTCAGCAAGAGGTAAGTAAATTTTTTAATTCTCCTTCATTCAGATGAATAGCCAGATTATAAACTGTTTCTGTTTGATCCAAAACCTTGCATAATTTTGTTAGAAAAGTTTACAGATAAGCCTGATATCTTACTGGACTCAAAGAAATGAACCCATTGGTTTGAAGTTTTGATAGTTCTCTATTTCTCTGCTGCTGCTTCTAGTGAAACTTGCATTCCAATTTTAACCAGCCATTGCATGTAGGATTCAACTGTTTCAAAATGCTTAAATGTTTAACAATAACACGAAAAATTACCCGCATATAACTACAAGGAATCTTCAAACAAGAATACTTGTTGCATTTGGTTTTGAATTATAGAACTGCCAAGTCATGTACCTCCATTTAAGTAGCCCTCTAATGTCATCATCATTGGCTGTCTTATTAGGTAAATATTTTGAGCAAATTTCGGCATCCCAACCTTGTAACCCTCATTGGAGCCTGTCCAGAAGCTTGTGCTCTCATTTATGAGTATCTACAAAATGGAAGCCTAGAAGATCGACTTAACTGCAAGGGCAACACTCCTCCACTAAAATGGCAAACTCGAATCCGCATTGCTTTAGAGATCTGCGCCGTTCTTATTTTCTTGCATTCTTGCAGCCCTAAGAGCGTTGTACATGGTGATCTAAAACCATCAAACATTCTGCTTGATGGTAACTACATAAGCAAGCTGAGTAACTTTGGTATTTGTCACATACTAAACGAAAATGAGCTTTCAGAGAACCTGACTACAGGATACCGCAGAACTGACCCAAAAGGAACTTTTGCATACATGGATCCTGAGTTTGTCGCAACAGGGGAACTTACCCCGAAATCTGATGTCTACTCATTCGGGATTATATTGTTAAGGATGTTAACGGGAAAGCCGGCATTAGGGATAGTGAAGGAAGTTCAGGCTGCCCTGAAGGACAGAAACTTGAAAGATATCCTGGATAAAACAGCAGGGGATTGGCCATCTGGAAAAGCAGAACAGCTGGTTAACTTAGCTTTGAGTTGTTGCGAAATGACTCGGAAGAATCGGCCTGAACTTTCATCGGAAGTATGGAGAGTGATTTCCCCAATGAGATCATCCTGTGGGTCTACCACATCTTCTTCTAGGTTAATTCCTGGAGAGCAATATTCTCATTCTCCACAATACTTCATTTGTCCTATCTTTCAGGTCAGTGTTGATATCTTTAGATCTTTGATTTCTGTTCTGCCAATGGAACAATAATGAAGCAAAAAAAAATCTTCATGAGAAAAATTTGTCAGTAGAATGTTCATCAATCCATCCTCATTTCTACAATTTGAACAACTCCGCGTAACAGGAGAAGAACTTTTTCGGTCCATAAAACTATTTCAGTAGAAACCATTTTGGTGATATGGTATTTTTTTCTGGTGCTTAAAATTTGCAGGAAATCATGAAGGATCCTGTGGTGGCAGCTGATGGCTACACATATGAAGCAGAGGCAATTCGGGGATGGATCGATGGTGGTCACGATACATCACCGATGACGAACCTGAAGCTTACACATACCAATCTTGTACCCAACCTTGTTCTTCGATCCGCCATTCAAGAATGGTCACTAAAGACTCGAAAAGTAGTATAACTGAACAGTGAACTTCTACTTCATTAGGCCAAGATTGAATTAATTGGAATAGAAAGAGTAATAATGGTTTATTTTCTTGTGTTTGATTTCGGCATTGACAATGTTGCAATCTTACTGCTCTCCATTTCAGCCTTCGACAAGTTTATTGTATGGGTTTGGTAAAAAATTTATCTGACACTATTTTACACTTTGGCTGATGATACAAGAGAAGTTGAATGCCTACACTTTTGGTCGGTCACCCCCCAACTGGTTATCTTTCACTGGTTAATTCCAGTTCATAATGAAGTTGATTTTCTTTGAACAAAAAAAATCTACAAGAAAAATGAAATTTGATTGTTTGCAAATTGTAATAGCATCGGCAACTAGCTATATAGAGCCTTCCTTAACTTTTTCTTTATAGCTATAATATATATCGCATTATCATGTTTATTAATTAGACACTGCACATGTATTTCGTCGAGAATTCAATAAGTGATCAGATGTTTGTTTGATAATAAAAAGCTTATATGACGCCATGACCTTTATCTCTCATGTAGACATGGACAACAAGGAAATAGAAGTCAATTGTTAAAGTATATAATCTATCCCACACCACCACCGTAAAGAGAAATGGCTTTGTATATAAATGCAAAAGGTCACATCATTCATTGTCAATTGGTTTTGAGATTGGCGCCCAAGATATTTATATACTTTGACATGGTATTGGAGTATACTGGACCTGTGTGGAGTTCGGGGCGGAGGTGGCTTGTAGTGATTTTATATTCTCCCATTTGAGCATTGACTCGTGGGCTTGTTCTGAACCGATCCAGAAGTATAACTGGTTTTCTATCACTAGAGCGTTGACTCGTGGGCTTGTTGTGGACCGATCCAGCAGTATAACTGGTTTTCTTCCACGAGAGTATTGACCCGTGGGCTTATCTGTTCTTGTCCTAATCCAAATCTATTGGGCAAAAAAAGTTCAAAGAATCATTGGACTTGAGGGAGAGTGTTAAAGTGTATAATCTGTCCCATATCGCCACCGTAAAGAGAAGTGACTCTGTATATAAGTGCCAAAAGCCACCCCACTCATTTCCAATTGGTTTTAAGATGAGAGCCCAAAGTATTTATATACTTTGACAACAATAATTTCTCAAGTCATATTTTGGAGAGGTGGAATAAAAAAGAGTGTAAAAGATAGCGGATCATACTACCTAAGAGCATCTCCAACCATTCCACTATAATTTGCATTAAGTTTAGTGTAAAAATATAATATTTTAAGAATCTTTTTACATTAAAGTTCTTTGTTCTCCAATCTTGATGCACCAAATGGTTTAAATATTTAATATTTTAGCTTAAATTTTATTTTGTGGTTAATTAAAATCTTGTAATTTGTTGATAATTTTGTTAAATTTCTTTCTTATAATCGCTTTTTATTTGATTGTAGCAATATCGCTTTTTTTCAATTTTGTTTCATATTCAATTTATATTATAAAAAATAAATTTTATGTTCAATATGGGTCTTATTTTGAAGATCTCAACAAAATATTTAATATGATATAATTTTCAAAACATAATTCGTTTTACAAGTTCAATTACATAGCAAATATATATTTAGATCAAAGTAAAAAAAAAATAGTGCACTAAAAATAGTCTAATGGCCAATTTACACTAAATCTGGTATAACACTATTCATTTCACCAAAATAGTACAATGATTTGATGTCTTTGTCGGATTGCGACCTTTACACCAGAACATTAAATTTGGTGTTTTGATGTCTTTGGAGATGGCCTAATGAAAATCATAATGCAGATTTGGAAAGGAAATCTGTTGACACCTATCATACTTCACATCGATCTTACAATTCCTCCAATTAATCAAATGCAATTATAGCATAATCATTACAATAAAATAGATAGTATTAAAAAGTTATAACTAGAGAAAGTTTTTGTTCATATAGAATAATTGAATAAAATTTCTACCCAAAAAAAAAAAATTTGTCTGTATTCAGTATCTAATATCTATGATTCACCTAAAAAGGAATCGAATCAATTTTAACTTTAATATATATATATTTTTTTGGTTTAACTCGTTAGTTGTTAGTGTTATCTTAACACAATCTAAAAGAATATTTTTAATTAAATAAGAACTATAATCCAAATCTTCCACGTCAGTATTTTCTCTTCCACCGAGGAGCGCCAAACTTTTAATTGTCTGCTCACTGCTCATTCTCATCTCCAAAGTTGGACTGACTGAAGAAACTTGAGTAGTCTACTGTGTGTCTGCGTGTTTATTTATCCCCATAATTTTTTCTCCATTTGATCTTGTTGGCCGTCTACGGAGTAGAATCAACCACCAATTCATGGCCCTGTTTAAGTCTGTATTAGAAAAAAAGGTTTTGAACAGAGGTTTTCTGGGAGGGACATTGAAATGGACGTCGAATGCTGAACGGCGTTTCTATGCATCGCCGCTGCCGGAACTTCCGCCGTTTGATTACCAGCCGAAGCCGTACAATGGTCCCTCCGGTGATGAAGTCTTTCAGAAGAGGAAAAAGTATCTGGGCCCATCTCTGTTTCACTATTATCAAAAACCCGTAAGTTTGCCACCCTCTTCTCCAGACTCCTACCTATAAGATTGAATTAATGAAATGTGGGGCGTTTATTTGCTTTTGATTTCCGTTTGTTCTTGTGGGTTTTGCTTTGTAGTTGGAAAATGATGATTGTTTGTGAGAATTTGGTGTTAATTAGCCAATAATGGGGGAGAGTTCTATGTATGGAAAATACACTTTTGGAAGTTTACTATTCAAATTTATGATTTTGATTCTGATTTTAACCAATTTCCGTTGGTTATGGAAATTCACGTTTGAATAATCTTTTGGGTTGCAAGTCAAATGCGCATTGGTGACTTTATAAACAAATAATTTGATGGCAAGGTTTACTCTTTTTGATGTATTTTGTTTTTAAATTTCAGTTATGGGATTAATGTGCACCTTCATTTACCTTTGAATATCCGATTCTGCTGTTTATAGTCCTTGATTGGTTGACTGGATAAGACAAAAATTCGTTTAGTTTTGTTATTTTGTTGCATCCACAGCTCAATATTGTTGAAGGGAAGATGCAATATTTGTTTGATGAGAACGGAAGGCGATATCTTGATGCATTTGCTGGTATAGTGACCGTGTCTTGTGGTCATTGCCATCCTGATGTGTTAAATGCCATCACAAAGCAGAACGAGCTTCTTCAACATGCAACAACAATATACCTGCATCATGCAATTGCTGATTTTGCTGAAGCATTGGCATCTAAGATGCCTGGAAACTTAAAGGTGTGCTTCTTACCTAAATGTTTGAGTCTTGGAGCATGGAGTAATGTTACCTGCTGGTATCAATGGTAAAGAGTCAGAATAGGAGCATTTTTGTTTGGTCTCTTACTTTTTGTTATGAATTAAAAATAACCAGCTAAATTAGTTTGCTCTTCTATTGTTTCATGTTCAATAACTTGTATCAGTGTTCGCTTATTGTAAACTGCTACTGTGTTTGAGATAACTAGAGGAATTAATTTTCATTTTTGAATTTTACTCTTTTCAAGAGACTTAATACAATGAAACAGCTTATCGAAACTTCGAAGTGCAAATTAGTTTATTCATTTGTCTTTTTTATTATTTTATCAATTTCAGCAGCTTGTCAGACCTTCACAGCTACCTTTATTTTCTATCTTTAAATCCCGTCTTTCTTTAAGAACTTTAGAGGATTTGTTTTTCATATTTCAAATTTGCACCTTGCTAACAATTTAAACTGACTGAGGCACCAATTATGACAATTTATTGTCAAAACACAGGTTGTTTATTTTGTAAATTCAGGAACTGAAGCAAATGAATTAGCAATGATGATGGCACGGTTGTATACCGGCAACCTTGGCATGATAGCCTTGAGAAATGCATATCATGGTGGAAGCTCTAATACAATCGGACTTACTGCCCTTAATACTTGGAAATATCCTATTCCACAGGTTTGCTCCTCAAGAAGATCATTCGGAGTCTTTGTTTATTCTTGGACTATCATCGTCATAATTTAATAGAAGTGAATTCCTTTTGAAGAAAAAATATTTTGTTCCTAGCTTGTCGAGATAGTAGATAAAATCTGTGCTTTCTGAGGCTGAGTGGTTACCTTATAAAAATTTCCTCACTTTTTGGTTGTATAGGACCATTTGATGAGATAACTATGTTCATTATGATCAGTTTTTCTGATTTTTTTCCCCTTGTGTGACTATTTAAATTTAAAGTAACCTAGAGGGAACTCTGTACCTGGTGCCAACCAAGCTAATAAGTCGAATTTAATTATATCATATTCCATTGACTTCTTGAAAATTATTTGTAAATTGAACTACAAAGCCTAGCTGAACTATTTTACATTCTCTTTTTCTAGTCCCTTAAAACTTTCAAAATAGTTTTTGGCACCGTGCGCTTCTTATTCTACTGGGACTTAGGTCAGAATGGTCCAACATTGTTTTCAAAACATAATGGAGGAATCACTCATAACAGAGCCATTCTTTTCAAAACAACATGTAACTTGTTTCTGGTTTTATATATCGAAATACCAGTAATAAATCGTAATTTTTCTCTCCTATAATATAGATTCCTTTCCCATTTATCCATATAGGACTGGTAACTCAGATTTATGGTTGCTTTGAATGGGTATCCCTTGAACTAATACATAGCTATTGCAAGTACAGTTTCTCTTTGCCAAACATAGGCGAATTTGAAATATCTTTTCCAAGCATTATAACCCTGACCTCCTATCTTTCATTCATTTGCTTAAATCTTGCAGGGTGAAATTCATCATGTTGTCAATCCTAATCCCTATCGAGGTGTCTTTGGATCTGATGCAAGTCGTTATGCTGAAGATGTGCAAGATCACATTGATCATGGAACTTCTGGAAAAGTTGCTGGATTTATAGCTGAAACTATTCAGGTGACAAACTATTTTCAGTAGTGCAGAAGAACTATTATTTTCATTGCAAATCACTGACTGCTGCTAATTTTATTTTACAAGTATCTCAATTTCAGGGAGTTGGTGGAGCTGTTGAACTAGCTCCTGGATACTTGAAACTGGTTTACGACATTGTTCGCAAGGCTGGTGGTGTTTGTATTGCTGATGAAGTCCAAACTGGATTTGGTCGAACAGGAAGTAACTATTGGGGCTTTGAGACTCAGGGAGTGATTCCTGATATTGTTACCATGGCGAAGGTGTGCTCGATCATTCTCGTATAACCCTTTCTCTGTTCAGCACTTGTTCTCTTCTCAATCTATGATTCTACTGAATAAGGAAATCTTTACTTACATTTCAGGGTATCGGGAATGGTTTACCCCTTGGAGCTGTAGTGACCACCCCAGAAATAGCTAGTGTAATGTCTCAAAAGATACAGTTTAACACCTTTGGTGGCAACCCTGTGTGCTCTGCTGGTGGCCTGGCCGTACTAAAAGTTATTGATAAGGAACAGCGCCAACAGCATTGTTCTGAAGTTGGATCGCACTTGATTGAACGTCTCAGAGTTCTCCAGAAAAAACATGATAGTATGGCTCCTTAACTTTTCATACATTTAGTTTACTAGAAAAAATGAGTGTTGATATTAAATGTGGATTTACTTAATATCTCGCTGCTGGGATAGCATATGCTGCAATCATATTATTTTCTGTGAAGTAGTAGGTTTTTATTCTCAAACTGAAAACACAATGCTACGAAATTGGCTACGATGGCTGTAAAATCCTAAATGCTTGGATTATAATCCCAAACAAAATGTTACCACAATAAAGAATATGTAAACTCTTGAGGGTTTTCATAAATGCCTGATTACTGCCTTTGACTCTTTGAATTTGAGATTCATATGATTTGGAAATTATTATGGTTAGAATGTTGTTTTCCTTATACTTGCTCGTCTCTTGATCTTTCCTTCAAACTGAACATTCTTACTGCTTCTCTCCCATGTCTCAGTCATTGGAGATGTTAGAGGTAGGGGATTGATGGTGGGCGTAGAACTAGTCACTGACAGAACTTCCAAGTCTCCTGCAAAAGCAGAAACTGCAGTTTTATTCGAGAAGCTCAGAGGTTAGTATACAATAACCAAAACAGAAAGCTGACTTAGAAAACTTCTTTGCTTGCATTAGTATGACCGAAATTTTACACATTGCAGAACTTGGTGTCTTAGTTGGGAAAGGTGGACTACATGGAAATGTTTTTAGGATAAAGCCTCCCATGTGCTTTAGTAGAGATGATGCAGGTAGTTCGTACTTTCCATTTGCTCTTTACCAAATCATTTCTAGTGAACTTCGTTGCAAACATTTAACGGAGTGGGAAAACCAATTTCATGATACGCTGTTTTAGTCAGATCGATTTAACTGTCCTCTTTTCCGCAGATTTTCTTGTTGATGCATTGGATTACGCCATGTCGAAGTTGTGAGCAGTGGACATGCAAAATTACCTATCTTCAGCCAGCTCAAAAAGGATCCTGTTATAGATTTGTAGGCCAATAAGTTGTAAATTGCTGCAAGAATGCTGTTATGTACTTAGTTTCTTTCGTAACGCGCCCCCAAGAAGGGAGTACTTAAATTACATCTTCATTCTATCAGAAAAAAGTACTTCAGTTTGTTGAACTATTAGCTTGGACAGATGGATTTTTCTTCTTCTTTTTTTTTTTTTTTTCTTTTTTTAGGTTTTCTTTTTACTGTTTGCGCCATGAATTGGTGAAGATGAAAAAAGAAGTCAAAAGAATGAGGAAATTGCAAAAGGAATAGTTGGCTTTTTGACATGGTGGTAGACCCAAATGCATACATGATACATCATCTGTCTATACACTACCCAGTCATTTCTGCCTGCAAAATGCATGAATCCTAATAAACTCCACTCAAAAAACCCCTCCAATAATTTGCTTTGCATCACTGTGTGTATATGAGAGAATCTGACAAATGCCACCACATCTTTTTCCAAAAGAATTAGAACCCCTGAAATCATGATGGATTTTGCACCTTTTTTTTTTCCTTCCAGAGTAATCAACCAAGTCAACTTCTTCTTCTTTATCTTTATCTTTTTTTTTTTTTTTTTTGCCCTTTCCTAGAAGTGAGGCCTGCTTGGGATGGTTTCCAAAAAGGTGGGCATGATTGGAAGAAACTTTTGTGGAGTAGGCGTTCCATTTGTCCTTCACCAATCATAGTGCAACCACTATTTCTGGACTTGTTACACTGTTGGCTCAGAGAATGTCTCATCAGAAATAGAAAGCCTCATCATCTGTCATCTCTTTATGCCAATGAGATTCACTTTTCCGTTAATTATATGGGGAAAAATTGATAGAAGCATTGAAAAAAAAAGTCTGAAGTTATCTCACTAAAATGATGTCGTTTTATTAATGAAGCATGATTGGTATATAATTAGTATAAATATTGAAGCAATATGTTTTATGGTTGTAACTATCAAGTGACAACCTTTTTTTTTCCAGTTTAGCAAGTACCAATTAGAGTACAAAAATGAAACAAATGATCGTGTGTGTTTATACTTGGTCGCAAAAGTTCACAGAATTCAAGTTGATATGAGATAATGATCAAATGGAAATGTTAAAAATCAAATTCATGTCTAGTAGAGATTAATAACAAGCACACTTTTTTTTTATTAGGTCTATATATTTCTCTAACTATGATTGAGCATACTTGACCTAAGTGGAACAAAAGTTCAATTGCAGAAATCAATGTGACTGCAAATCTACAGAATGGTTCTGCCCTCAAGACTGAAAAGGTCAAAAAACATATAGCTCCAAGCTCCCTGATGACAAGAAGTAAATAAATATACATAAGCAAACAGAGATTTAAAATTGCAGGCTTCTCTTCATGAAATAGATATATATGTACAACTTCTCGATGGAGGGAAGCCGCTCGAAAAATGGTAGCAGCCCAGAGAAACCTCGATGTGCGTATTTTGTGATCACAGACTACACGGGCAATCTGATGGAGTTATGCATGCCTTTGGTATCCGCTCGAAAATGCATCAGATATACTCTGCATCTCCTCATTACTCATTAGGCAGGTTCAGTCGAGCGGCTAGCCCAGTATGAGCTCATATTTCGAAGACGCTCAAAGTATAACCCCAAGACAAGAAGGCTTTGAGCTGACTGCCGAACACTTAAGATGCCAGACATCTGCTGCAAGGTTACTTGGCGAAGATGATCAGCCTGTTTCAAGATGATTGATAACCAAGCTCAAGCTTTATTGCATAAATAAAATCTGTTCGAAAAGTAAATCCATTTCTCACATCCAACACCAGAAGTAAGAAGAAAAATGTCTCTGAAAAGCTGGAATGGAGCAAGACAGTATATATCTATTAGCCTGCTTGCCAAAAAAATTGTTCACGTTTTATGTAAATGTATGGAGTGAAACTCCATTGCAAAAAGTTTGTCGCATCTGATGAATTGGTGCAAGAAATTGCTATAGTATTTGAATGACAGCAAAGCAAAGGTCCCTTTTAATCTTCTCTGTTTCGTTTAGACACGTTAATAGGCACATCATTCCGAAAAAGCTGACAAATGAAATGAAGTGAAAACTGAAGGCAAAGAAGTGCGCAAAGTATTTCTACTCTTGAAGAACATCAAAAGGATTATAGCAATCACCTGCTTAACAAATCTTTCTAAAGCTGCCAAGTTATCCAATGCTTCTTGAAGCTGAGGGAGATTATAGAGTTCACCGAGAAGATCATCTGCAACTGAATTCCCCAGATACTGCAGTAGTTTATCCATTCCCTGAGATAGAGCATCTTCTGCCTGTTGACATGCCTGTCTAAGGTTTTCAATATTCATTATTTGATCCTCTGTCAAAGTTTGAATTTGTGGCTGAAGAACCTGAATTTGAAACATGGATTGACATACAAGCATCACAATTTGTCCCACGGAAAATAATAGAAGCAATGGAGGGACTCAAATCATGTTCAGTGATGCAAGAGTAATCAAATATACTTCCAGTGGATTACCACGGTAATGGTGCTCTTTTTTATCTTTAGCAGATTCCTTTTACTTACATTATAATGTTGTTGGAATGAAAGATTTGACACTTTGTCAACATTCCTTTATTTATACATTGCTATTACTTATATAGTTACAGTCATTCAACAAGCAACTGATATTAATAATAATCTCGGTAATTCACATTAGAGTTGAATTATATGATCACCTTAAGAAGATCAGAAGGGCGAAATCCTCCAATCCACAAAAAGAGTCTTTCCACTGGTGTTTTCCACATTCCCGAAAGGAGATAAAAGACGTCAGCTTTTGCAGCCATTTCCTTCAGGCGAAAGAGTTCGAGGTAATGATTTATGCCCCCGTTTACTAAAGGTTGTAATTCATCATCAGTCACTTGAGATTGCAAGGCATTCCTCAATTCATTTACTTGTTTGTTTTGCATTTCCACCCAGTGACCGTAATCCGCCACAAACGTAGTATATCCTGCAGGTTCAGCCAATCTTTATCAGCATTGTGAAAAGCATTCTTCGCAAATAAAATTGAAAATAGAAATTTGACGAAGGATAATATGCAAGGAAAGCTACACCGGAATTCACATTGGGGTAGTTCGGGTATCTTCTATATAACTTGCAGATTGAAAGAAACCAAAAGTTTTTCACCCAAATGACAGTTAGTGATGCTTGCCATCCTGAATTCTAAGTCTTAACTTTCAATCATTCCATCAACTTCAAAAATCTCAAGAAGTATGCAACTTTTGAACTATCTCCTTTCCAAGAATTTTTGAGCACTTATAATACACTCTGAAGCCTTTTAGAAACCACTTAGAGCTGCTGCTTAATCTATTTGGTCTTTAAAATCACCCTGTGTAGTAGTAATAAGTAACTAAAGTTCAAGAATTTCGTTGCTTCAGAGTAATAAATGACACAAGCTTTAATCATGTCTAGATGGTCAAACGAATCATAAGCTTTTTCAACAATGGAATGAGATTTGTTGGAAACACAGAAGCCACCTGTAGCTTCAGTAGTGCATTCAAAATCGGCTGGTCGTTTAACAACCAACTTACTGAAAAACCAAGCAATCAACAAACCTGAGTTTAAAGTTCCAGAGCAAGTTAGCTGACTAACATCTAATCCACCACTAGCATAAAGGCCCTGCAAAATATAGTTTTGGATTTTATTGAAATAACGAAGGTGGATCAACCATTAGAAACTGTACTAAACAGAATACTGTTACTCAATCCAAAGTCCAATTCTATTTAACCTGTTGTCTAGCACGGTCGAGCTCTTGTTCTAGCTGCATCAGCCTTAGTTTACTGCTTTCCAACTGCTGAACATAAGCCTGCAGCAATCACTTTACATCAGAACTCTATGTGAAGCTTTTCTTGATTCAAAAGTTTTTTCATCTTGAATCATAGCTTCAATCAATAACTGCATTCAGTATTTGGCTTCCGTAATAATAAATCTTCATTGTTACCTTCTTTCGTAAGCGGCTTTTACGAGCTGCCTCACGGTTCTGTGCAAGACGCCTCAATACCTGACAGACATAAAACAGAACTTAGTAAAGGGGGAAATTCAAAGAACAGGAATTCGGAAACTAAACTAGAGGATGAATGGTGCTGTTCAAATAGATATAACAAGAGAAATACTGCAATTAGAACCACAATCTAACCCAAGAAACATGAGTTTATAGATAAAATGAGATAATATTGGTATACCATGATTTTGTAGTAAATTTATTTCAAGACTAACTCAAATGGTAAGAATATAACATCTCAAGAAATTAAGGATAAATCATAATATCTTCACCTTATCAGCAGGTTTACTGGCCTCTTGGTCATACTTGTGTGGAGTCCCAAATGTTCCCTGTGAAGTGTCCTCCGACTACACATGATAAATTATAGAAGCCGATCATTGTGGGTAATAACAAGAGGACCAACAAATTGGGTGATCAAGAAAATAAGAAAAACACAATACCTGATTATCTAGATTGGTCTCAACTTGTAAAATGGTGGAAGCAGATGCAGTTGGACATCCATTACTTCTGAAATCTCCCCACATGCTAACTGGATGAATTGGTTCGTATAGCCCCATTCTTCTTGAGGCAACAAAATGGGTAGTTGCTGAATTCATTCTGTTTTGCCTGATAATGTAAGCCACAAAAGGATGGTGTTAACATACAATATTGCTAGACAAAATTATGAAGGAAAAACAAAACAAAAGATGGAAGGAAATCCTAGCAAACAATAACAGAAGTGCAGAACTCGATGGGGAATACCATGCTCAAGGGAACAGAAAAGACAATCAAGACTTTTCGAACCAATAATCCATCATGTTTATTGACTCAGAAAAAGTAATATTTAAAGATCAGATCAGAACTAGATACCTATGTCGGGGAAACAGAATGATCCTAAACTTGGAGCACTACACATTAACTGATGAAATTCAGATGGGCTTAGGATTTATCAGATTCTCTAATAAATCCTAAGCTCGTCTGAATGGAATTTTTCGAAGAAGGAAGCTCTAAAGAGGAAATCTGTATAAGAAAAGAACTATATTTAGAACAAAACAAAAAGTGATCATAGTTCTTCCTTATTCCAACTTCAGTAGAAAAGACTAATGATTCTATCCACCCGGACTCCATCAACCCCCACCATGCCCTCGGCGCCCATTGAAGTGATAGCAAAAGCATTTTACAACTTCTAAAAAAATCCAAGTTCAATCTTCAATTCTTGGGAAAAGTATGTTAATATTCTTGTCCAACCGCGAGTAACTCACTCCGTTAAAATGACTGCAACAGAGAGCTGGTAAAATAGAAACAGATTCAAAGGATTTCAATTCGAAAGTTCAGTTCATACTAAAACTTCAAAATTCAATTCTTTCACACACACAGCCTTTTCTTACCAAACACATATGGTATGGAAAACTCAATCCCAGAAAAATAATGTTTACTTGCAAAAACTATAAAGGGGAAACCCTTTACAAAACAACATGAACATCAAACAGATGACTCTGTAAATCGATGAACTCTCCTTTCCCAAAGAAGGGAATCAGGAGCTGAAAAGACTTACTTTAAGCTCCAAAGGATTCGATACCAGAACCATACGCATAAGATGATGCATGGTGAAAGACAAGAAAGATTAACCATATTAAAATTCTTGTCCCAAACCATCATCTTAAATTTTGTGAAATTGTTGCTCCAAATTGAGCAATCAAGAATCAACTAACTCGTCTGACTATATATTCAAACAAAGCAGAAAAGATTCACAGCAGCAAAAGAACAAAAAATCCAAGAAAATTATGCAAAAAACGGGCTTGAAAATTCGGTTCATGAGCAACCCTTTTCACCAAATGATCATAGCAAAACAGAGAGAATCATTTCTTCTAAGCTCTGCTGCAGTTGGTATGATATGACTCATGAACAAAGAGAATAAAAACAAGAAAAGTGATTGAAGGAGAAAGAAAAAAACACCTTTAAACCAAAAGGGTCTTCAAGAAATCAACTTGTTTTTCCCGCTAATTTTCGGTTGGCTTCACCAAAAGAAGTAATTGAAGCTCATTAATTTCATTGATGGTTTTGTTCTTTCATCAAAGACCTCAAAAATATTCCCTTTTTTTCCTCTTTCTTTTTCAACTCTCATTTGTTCCTCTCCCCCATTTGCTAGTAATTGGGAAGCAGAAGAAGAAGGAGAATCCAGGACTGCAAAACACACAAGTCTTTTCAAAATCCATATTTAAATCATACCATTATTATATTCACAAAAATACATAAAATGATAAAGACAGCATGCACTCATGGATATGTACACATTCGTGCCACACAATTACCAAATGAAATTAAAAATTAAAAAAATATATATATAAAAGAAAAAAAAAAGTACTATTCGGGTTGACATTTTGTGTCAAAATAAACTCAACTACCTAAAATTATTCATAAATTTCTCAACCTAAAACAAATAATGTGATTTTGTTCAATAGTCTAATTTACAAGTCAATTGTACAGAATACACGTACCAGCTGAGTTATTTTAAATGGAACAATTTTATAGATTGGCTAACTAATGTCAAATCTGATAAAAATCACACAGTTTAAGTCATTCATAACATTTTAACCTTATATGATATTCTGTGATCGTTTTTTTAATAAAATGGTAACAAAGAATAGTATAGAAAATGAGAAATCATTAAAAGAAATTTCTTAATGGGGTACCGATGAAATGTGGGACAATGTTATCGTATGCTACAGAAAGAGGTGAAAGGGCGAAAGAGTAGAATCTGAGATGGAGAGAGGATTAAGAGTATTTGTTTAGTCACATTTCCACTACCAAAAATGGAACAGTGATTTTTCGTGTTTAGTTGTGTGTGTGTTTTTGATCCATAATCATCATCGTGCGCACCAGGTCACCCTCACTTTCTTTTCTTTTTTTTTTCTTGTTTTTATTTTTCCTTACTCACAACAACGTTCAAAAATTTCCAGTTCACATTTTTTCTATACACTGTATGACTGTAATATAGAATATGGTTCCTTATTACTCTTCTGTTCCTAAAATAATTATCCTATTTATTATATTTTTGAGAAATAATAAATAACACAATTATTTTATTTTAACAAAGGTGCCAGATGTTAGCGTAAATTTGAAAAACTTAATATGAACAATTTTTTTTTTTAAAATGGAGGGAATAAATCAACTACTAATACTATAAGAAGGTGAAATCAATTCCACAAGACACTGTAAGGAGAAGTCTCAAACTATTCAAAATGTTCTTTTTGGTACTATGGGTATTTATTATTAATTAGTTATGAAAATAGTAGCCACAAATATGTAGTTTTTAACTTAAAACGTGGTCCCGCTTTTTTTTCAAGTAGACTTTAATTTAAATTTAACTAGTGATACTTCGTTATTAATTCAAGTCCAATTGCACAAGAACTACATTATAGAAACAAACTATGAGAATATTATGAAAATTTCTCGTATCTTAAAATGATTGTCGAACAGATTAATTAATTTGGGACGAAAAGGTAAAGAAAGGGTGTCTTTTAAATGATATCACTACGACCTAGTAGATCTCCAAATCGTAAGTGTGTTTTTGCTAAATGACGTATTTTTTTTTTACATGGGGCTAATAATTGACTCTTGTGATTGCTGCAACGATCGGTTGTTGCTTGATTTTTCATGTTACGTGGCATGCAACATCAAACTTTAGTGTGTATATATATATATATATATATATATATATATATATATTTTAGGTTTAATTGGAGTTTTGCATAGAGAGCAACTAATTAAAGTTGGAGTTTAATTTTGATCTTGCAAAAATGGACATTATTAATACTTCACGTTAGCATAAGATCTTTCACTTACATTATTGTCGGCCGGCCGGCTCCTTTCTACTCAGACGACTTTGGACTTAATCTACCAATCCTAATCCATTTACTTAATAGTCATTTTCCTCCAACCATGCACTTTATTAAAATGGGAGTAATTCCAGAAAAAAAAATGATTTATGAGTTATGATTAATCCAAAACTTACAACTCTCACAAGGGTTGCCTTCTACATATTTATTTTATTTTTGTTGAAGGAATCTAACTACAAATTAATCCTGCTTGTCTGTATCAATAATTATAAGTACAATTAACACTTCATAAAGCATCTATTTTCATTCTCTAAAGTGTGACGGTCCTTCTCTAGCCGCGAAAGGTATAAAAGAATTACGCTCTGGAAAGAGATAAACTAATACTTCCTTTGTCCCAAAATTATTGTCCAGTTTGGATTTTCATTTTTAATTCAAATTATGATAAAAATAAAATCTCAAACTGTACAATAAATCCGGGACCGAGGGAATAATTGTTTTTCCAATAGGTTTCTCGTCATATTTATTTTCATCTTTAGATATATGGAGAGAAATCACTGTTTGATTTATGTTACAGATTAATTAATGTAAAGGTATACGTCGCAAATCTGATACGTCTTTACAGGATTTGAAGGGTCAGTACAGTAGAGATACTTATGAGGTTGAAAAGTTGATCTAATTAGGCTGGAAAGAGTGTCCTAAATTACAAATTAATTAGTACAGCCATGCATAAACAGTATGGGGCTTCACAACTTGTACTTAAATTACTAGAAAAGGAAAGCTAGAAGGAAATGAAAAAGCTATTAACAGAAGCTTAATCTAATTTGTTAGTGGAAAGAATGTGTTTTGCTTTTTCGTTTGAGTCAATAGAAACATATCAATACAATGTCTTTCTAGTCACCTGAGAGGTCAATGCATGGAGTATAGAATATACGGTATTTCCTCCATTCCAAAATGATTATAATGTTATAAAATAACAAACACGATAATTATTAATTTGGAGCAGGAAGAAGTATAAAACTTAAGAATTAAGATTCTTGAGAGTACTTAGTGATGAGGCAATAAGAACTACAATGTTGTCTACATATAAACTTTTTCATATTCGACATAGTATGTTCAATATCATCATTTATCAGATAATTTGACTAATCAGTTCTCTAGTCATACTTATCGTCTTTTATGAAGAGAAAATAAATATTTTTAATCTCATTTAGCATTTATTGATTTAAAATCAGATGCAATAGTTTGTTGGTAAATGTTTTGCCTCTGTAATTGTTATTTTTCTTCGTTTTTTTGGGTTAGCGAAATTGCGACGCATACACATCAAGTACCCATCTGGATTAACCTAAATTAAAATGAATTAAAAAAAAAATTGTAGATTTTGGTCGGGGGATTGCGGACTATATATCAAATTATTTTGTTCTTGAGTTTGCGTCAAAGTTGTTGTTTTCACAGACAACAATCATTATAAATGTTACCTGAATTTTTAAATTGATGACCAATTGAGGCTTTTACTGAAAGATGTTAAACTAACAATGAGCTGAACCTTATTATATTTGCCAAGTTTATTATTTTAAACATTGAACCATCATTTTATGGTACGGCACAAGAAGTGCAAATGAAAAATTACAAAATCAGCAATCATATTACCAAAGATTTTAAGATGATGTTATTCTTGTTATAACTCTTAAACATGAATTTTATCGCAAGATAAAACAAATACTCCTACCGTGGTATGAAACAATACCATTCTTATTAACTAAAATAGAACATCAAACGTGATATTCTCGCTGATTCTAATTACATAACATACAAATTAATGGAAAATTTAATTCAAATTTGTGCTTTATAATTAGGAAGGGATTTTTTTTATTTTTTATTTTTGGTCGCAGGAATGAAGTGTTATTATTATTATTATTTTTTTTCCTTTTGGCAACACATCAAGAATGAGTGCTTACGTAAGAACTCACGCAAGTACAAATCATGCAGACACAAACACTCAAAAAGTCGACGGGGAGATTGAATAATCCCACCAGTGACGTCCACTGCAAAAATATCAATATAAAATAATCAAAAAGCTAAGTGAATATGAATATAATTAACATCATAGAAGTCCAATCAGCTAAGAAGAATAATTAAATTAATTAACATGATCGATGAGTGTAAATCTAAGGTTTTATCCACTTAAAAAGTGACACAATCAAAAAGGAAGGGGAGAGAGATCGAAGGAGAGTCCAAAGAAGAGATAAGATCAGGAATAATTATTTATTAATTAGGTCACTCATATGCTGATTCTGAAAATCATCTATATTATACAATTAATTTTTTATATGTGTAAAGATTCAATTTTGACATATGGTGGGGTGGGCTTTTGTGACTTTGTGGGGGGAAAGAGTGGTGCCTTTATTTTGATGATGATGTATAATACAATATAGTTGCCTTGGGTGGCTATAAGTGTTGCTCCTTGTGTTGATTCTCTTTTGTTCCTCTTTTTATTAATATCTCTCAGAATTACACTGAGTATATTATACTTAAACTAATTCTCACTCGATCTTAACATATATATATATATATATTATATTGGGTAGACGAATCTCCAGACAATCAATTTTTTTTTTTATGTAGATACTCGAATAGAAAAACTAATTGTAAGATAACAATTTTATTGATCCTTACGTTTTGGTAATTTGATCCCAAAAAAAAAATAATAATAATAATAAAAATTGATCCCAACAATGGTTAGAGTCGCATCTTCTTTTTCTTTTTCATAATCTGGCTTGTGATTGTTGTTTGAATAATGAACCCCAAGAGATACGTCACGCAACTATTTTTGCTTTCTTTCATTCTATCCATTTGTGGGTTTTCTCTCAAGTGCATTTCCTATAAAGTCCATTTGCCACTAAGAGTGGCTCATGTGTCGTCACCAAATTTTTTCTCCCTTTATTCCTCTATATTTTGAGGGGTTCTAAGAAATTATTGCTGCACCAATTTGATATTCTTGGGACACCTAATAAAATTTGAATCCGCTGTTCATAGACAAGTTGGCCGCTAATGTATAGTATGAGATGATCAAATGCGATAGGCTTGAAAACATTATGTTTTTCCGCATTTAATAAGATTTTTGTATATGTTACACATTATGTGTGTTTATAACATTACTTTTATGGACGGGTCAGACTAAGTATTGTTACTATGGTCTCACTAATTGCATGCCTATAAATTCACAGTGTATTTTAGAGAAACCACAATGGTGGTAAATAATTAATAAATATTTATTATTTTATATTATTAATTGTCATTGTATTGAGTGTGATAATATTATATGGTGTAAGAATTCTTTCACTGTATAATGTACTTTTTAGGGTTAACATGTAATTAATATGACTTTATGATGATGTCAAAACTATTTCCTTTTATTATGCTTTTACAGTGTAAATCAATATAGTGAAAAATTGAATAAAATTATAATATTAAAAATTTATGAGATTATTATTATACTCACACCAAATAATACTATCTCCGTCATAAAAAAAATATTTAATATTGAGTTTTCAAATTTGTACTAAAAACAGTACAAAACTCAAAACTCGATGTGGACTATTTTTATGTGACGGAGGGAGTATCATAGTTGATGCTCTTATTTGTGTACAAATATTTACGATATCAAAGTTCTACATGGGAACAAAATAGAACGAGTTGATCACGAAATGAAAGACTTTCCTTCCTTCCAATTTGGGTGTTGGTACTAGACATAGAATATTGAGGAAAATACTCACATATTGAGCAAGATCTTTGATTCTCCCCAAAGCTTGGACTGTATTTCAAACTCGGAAGTACAATATATCTTTTTAAAGGCTCTTCCCTTCCTTTTTTTTTTCCCGCAGGTATGGCATCAAATCCATGAAAAGATCATATTTTGATTTGTTTTGGGCGCCTCTTAGTTCATGACGCGTGTTTGTTCTTGGTTAGAATCATTTGTACGCACCAATTGAAGCAAATTTGAAGAGATATCTTTCTTTTTGTGTGTTTTTTACTACTTTTGGTCAACTTGCAACGAAGAATCTAATGCGAACTTTTGTAAATTTGTGGGAAAAAAATTCTTCCATTGCCACTTTGTAGACTTAAATTGTTTACTTTAGATGTCGATGAAAAACGTGCTCATTTGATGATCTCACACCCAAAATGATAATAAATATCAATGTATATTTATATACTGATATACTCCTAGATAGGTTCTAGCTATTTTCACAAAATTACATAACTCTGAGAATAGAGTTCTCTTCGATTTTTTTTATTTTTTTTTTGTGAATTTAATGGTAGTTTTTGTACTTGATCATGAACCAGATGAGCTCATATAAGTAGGTCAAAACTTGCATTAGAAATGAGATCACAAGTCGGCAGGTCAAAAAAGCCTTATTTCCCGAAATGTTGTAATTAACTTGAACATTCTAATACTAGTTATAACTAATGACTTAGCCTAGTCTTAGGGTTTCTCTCTATGAGAACTCCTTTAGAATCATAGTTCTACTCAATTTCGGTGTCAACTTCCTCTTCATTACAGTCAATCTTGTTCGATAATCTCCAAAATCTTCCTCGAAATCACCAAACCTTCATTCATTTTGTCTAAATCTAAGTCCGGTCTCAACGTTTTCAATAAAATCATTAATTTTGTCCGTCTTCTTTCCCAAACCCTTGCCTGTTTATAATAAAAAAAAGAGAGAGAAAAAAAGAGAATAAAATTTTCAGTGTCTCACTTTCGTTTTTGAAATTGCTAATTTTATGTTTGTTTCTTGTTGAGTTTTCTTTCTTTCACAGATCTGAGTCGCCGTTAAGAGATCTATAGAAGGCTATTCTATTCATCACTGCGATTTTGATTGCGGTTATCTGCTTGTTAATTCATTCATGGATCAATTATTGGAGGATATGTGCGCTAATCTAAGTTTGAATGAGCCAAAAAAAAGTTCCTTTGAATGCATCTATTGGGAGAAATCTTGGAAGAGGAAATTGTCTGGTTGGGAAAGTTATTGGTCCCAAAGATCGTTTTGTGAGTCACAATGAAATAGCCAACCACTTTCGCGACTACTGGAATGTGCAACATGGTTTCAATCATATGGATGCAGACAGAAACATGGTTTTCTTCAAGTTCAATTCCCCTATAGATCTTGGCCTGGTTCAGCAAAGATCTCCTTGGACAATAGGAAAATTACTTTTTGTGCTCACGGAGGTGGATGAAAATGATGTTAATGATAGTGTTGACTTTTCATGGGTCCCTTTCTGGATCCAAATTCGGGGATTGCTGTATGGTTTGATGAACAAGGAAACTGTTGAGTCGATTGGTAACACAATTGGTCGATTTGTTGAATCGGATTGTGATCAAGAAAGTCTTGCAATTGGTGCATCTCTAGGTACACGAGTTTCTATTGACATCACAAAGCCTCTCTACCAGTCTGTGGAAGTCACTTTCAAAGAACGGATTTTCTTATGTGAATTGAGCTACGAAAGGCTGCCCGATTTTTGTTATTTCTGCGGCATAATTGGTCACATCGATCAAGATTGTCCCGCAAAAATTCTCAGCAACTCCACCCACTAGAACGTTATCAATTACAGTAACAAGCTCAGGCCGCCGACTTACAATGCTAGAGCTTCATCATCAACTCCTCAGGAGAAAGTTAGAGAAAGCCAGTTTTGGAAGCTCGTGCAAATTATGGCACTTCTTCACTTTATCGCCCCCCCAACAGATGCTAGGATTTTGAGTGCAGAAAATCCACCCATGCTGAGCCATAAACATCCCTTGAAACTGTAATACCCCAAAATCCCATTGCCGTTACTACCAAAACCCATGCAATTCATTCAAAACCGCCTCCTATGATCCCTGATGAACCTTTAAACCCGTCACTGCCTGTTCCAATCTCTCATAAGACTTATGTTTGAAAGAACTTTGTTTTCCGAGATTTTCCTTGTCTAGCCACCCCTGAAAATCTAGCACGAACCTTTCCTCGCCATCTTGTTTTCCAACCAATCCTTTAGATTCGTCAGGTAGCACTTCCTTTTCTGGACATGTATTTGATCACCCTCCCATGCATCCTGTTCAGCATAATATGATCGCATTTGATCAAGACAATGTTCAGACTCATTCTCTAGAACCCTCCCCCCAGCGTACCCCATCTCCGCCCAATTCTCCTATTCAGGAACAATCTGCTCCCATCGTAACCTTTCCTAATCCCCCCCCCTCCAACAGCAGCGAATCATTCCCTCGTCTTCAGCCCCAAACCCTAACCTCCCTTCTAGTCCTTTCTTGCATGTTGTACCAATTTCTTTTAATTCTCCAGCTCGCCGTGCCGCAAGGACGTGGACAAGATACAAAACAAGTCAGAATGTCTCAATGGATTCTGGCAGTAGAGGACGGGGAAGTGGAACAAGGCGGAAACTTCAAATTAATGAAGAGGTGGAATATGTGGAAGTTGAGACCAGTGGTAAAAGGAAAAATGTGTTGGATTTGGCAACTGAATCAGGAAAATAGAAGAAATCATCAGCTTATTCCTTTGTTGAAGAATCAATAGTTGTTGAAGTGGTTGATACTAATATTCCAGAGGTGGAGGCTGGCATGAAGGACCAACCCTGCCTACAAATATGAGTATCCTTTGTTGGATTTGTCGGGGGCTTGGGAACCCTCGTACAATTCAAGAGCTGTGTGATCGAGTCTGTGCTAAGTCTTTCCATTTGGTCTTTTTGTCGGAGACTAAATGTGTTTCGTCTACCATTGAAGGAATAAAATTGAGGTTAAAAATGTTTGGTGTAGCAATTGATTCTAATGGCTCTTCGGGTGGTTTGGCTCTTTTATGGCGTAAAGATGTTGCACGTCTTCGATGTTTCTTAGCCCGTTTCATTGACTGTGAAGTAGAACTGTTTGGCAGCAATTTTCGATTCACTGGGATTTACGGGGAACCGGAAGTTAACAAGCGTCGTGACTCTTGGAATTCTTTGAAATGTCTTAAAGAAAATCCTGAAGTACCATGGATTTGCTATGGCGATTTCAATGAAGTTCTCTCACAGAGTGAGTTTCAAGGGGTTCGTAAACGAGCGGATTGGCATATTACTTCTTTCTGGAGTTTTCTAGCGGAATGCAATTTGCACGATATGGGGTATAATGGCTACCGTTTCACTTGGTCTAGGCTTTTGGCTGCTCCTCGTACTCAGCAGGGTCGCTTAGATCGCTCAACCTATAATCCTTTATGGAAAGATTTGTTCAATTGGTCCAGAGTTATCCACTGCCCTTCTTTTGTATTTGATCATGACGTACTCCATATACAATTCTCTCCCCAGAAATTTGATAAATCCAACTAGTGTAGAAGACCTTTTGGTTTTGAAGCAATGTGGGTCAAGACTTCCGACTGCGAGAAAATAATTGAAGAATCATGGTCTCAGCCATCTTCCAGTCTTTGTTCGAAAATAAAAACATGTGCACTTGGGCTTCTTCACTGGGGAAGCTGAGAGGTGCATGGCGTCCAGGAGAGAATCGAGAAGTTGAAGAGCAAGATTCGAAGCCTGAAGTTGGTCTGATCACAACTGAGGTAAAGAAAGAACTAGCAACTCTTTATTCCCAATTGGAATCATTTCTGGACCAAGAAGATCTTAAATGGAAGCAAAGAAGTAAGCAGCATTGGTACCGGGAAGACATGAATAGCCGTCTACTTTTTCAGAGATTGAGGTGGTGAAAGCTCTAAAGCAAATGCATTCTTTTAAATCACCGGGACCAGATGGTATGAGCCCCATCTTTTTTTAAAATTATTGGCATATTATTGGTTCTGAAGTCACTTCATTTGTTTTAAATTTCCTCAATAATAAGGTTTTGGATAGTACCATGAATCACATTTACATTGTTCTTATTCCAAAAACCAAAAAGCCCGATCTTATCACCCAATTTAGATCGATTAGCCTTTATAATGTTGTCTATAAACTTGCCTCTAAAGTGGTTGCTAATCGGATTAGGAATGTTTTGCCAAAAATCATCTCTCCTTCTCAATCCGCTTTCATTCCAGGAAGATTGATCACTGATAATGTCTTACTTGCATATGAAACGCACCATTATATGAGAACAAAATCTAGTGGGAAGAAGGGTCTTATGCCCATCAAATTAGATATGAGTAAAGCTTTTGATAGGGTGGAATGGGATTTTGTGTGTGTTGTCATGAGAGCATCAGGGTTTAATGAGTCTTTAGTTAGTTTAATTCATTTATGTATTTCCACTGTTCGTTTTTGTTTTCTCTTTAATGGAGCTGATTCTAGTTCGCTAGTTCCACAACAAGGCATTCGCCAAGGAGATCCTCTATCCCCTTATCTATTCATTCTGTGTTCTGAAGTTTTTTCATGTATACTCCAAGATTTGCAAGCATGTGGAAGAATCCAAGGCTCACACCTATTTTTTGCGGATGATATGTTGCTTTTTGGCCATGCTACGGAGGAAGAAGATTCTCACATTTGTTTTGCTCTTAGCCTCTACGAGCGAGTTTCTGGGTAGAAAATCAATTTAGACAAGAGTGGCATCATGTTTTCTGAAAATACTTCACCTTCTATCAGAATTTCCATTTGTGACTTGCTAGGCATCCCTTGTGTTGCTGATCATGGGAAGTATCTAGGTCTTCCGTGGGTTATTGGTCGGAATAAAAGTTTTATGTTTGCTGGCATTAAAGACAAGGTTTGGAAGAAGTTGACGGGCTGGAAGGAGAGGCACCTTTCTAAAGGAGGTAAAGAGATTCTCTTAAAATCAGTAATACAAGCAATTCCGACTTACACTATGAGTTGTTTCAAACTCCCGGATTGCTTGCTTCACGAAATTGAGCAAATGATGTCTTCCTTCTGGTGGGGTGATTCAGGGGACATAAGGAAAATTCGATGGAATTCTTGGATTTCACTGACTCAGAGCAAAGATATGGGAGGGTTAGGTTTCCGAAATCTACTATGTTACAATCAGGCGATGCTTAGTAAACAAGCATGGCGGGTTCTCATCAATCCGACCTCGTTGCTTGCAAGAGTGTTGAAAGCCAGATATTATCCTGATTCCCTCTTCCTGTAGGCTGGTTCATTAGCTAATTCTTCTTTGAAAAAGTATCTTTGACAGCAGATCCCTCATTGATGTTGGTGTGCGGAAGAAAATAAATAGTGGGCGTAATACTCTCATTTGGAAGGAAAAATGGCTTCCTGGGGCACCTTTCTGGATCACTACACCATCGGATTCTCTGTCAGAAAATAGTGTGGTCTGTATGCTCATCGATGAGAATACGGGTTGGTGAAAGCATGACCTGATCAGTCGGATCTTCCCTCTTGATGTGAGCACTCAGATTTTATCGATTCAACCTAGAGATCCCCAAGAACCTGGTATTCATATTTGGTCTCCAAATTGAACGGGAAAGCATACCGTCAAATCGGCGTACCACCTTCCACTTGCCATTCACGGCCTGGTTCCAGAAGCCTCCCATTCTTCTCCACTTCCTTGGAAAAAAACTCTGGAAAGCACCCCTGCCACCGAGGATTCTCCATTTCTTATGGAGATGCCTCCGGAATTCATTGTCAACATCAGAAAATCTAGCTACCAGGCACCTGAACCATGATCACCAATGCAGCTTCTGTGGTGTTACTGACCATAGCACCTCACACCTGTTTTTTTCTTTACTCCTTCTCCCAGTAAATTTGGACTCTTACAAGTTTCTAGGAAGTCATCATACGCTTCCAGTAGCACAATTTTCAGGATTGGTTCATTGGAATATTTCAGGCTCTTGATAGGGATAAAATTCAATTTTTTCGATTTTATGCAATTTATTATGGCAGGCCATAAACGATAAGGTGTTTTCCTAGAAGCTTAGCACGTCTTGGGGTGTTGTGCTATCTGCTACCATCATGATGAAGAATTGGAAACAATCAAAATCTAAGAATGTGGAGATGTCTCGCTTTGACATAGACTCGGTTTTCAGACCATTTACAGGCAAGATTATGGTGTATTTTGACGTTGAACTCTCCTTTTGGAACAGGATTACGGGTTTTGGAATTCATGTCTCGTCTCCAGATGGAAAATTTCTGTATGCATATGCCTCTTCTACGAGCAATGTCTCAGATCCAGATTTAGCAGAAATCATGGCCTTAAGGGAAACATTACGCTGTGCCCGCCGTCTACAGCTGACCGATTTTCAGCTTGTTGGTGATTTCCTCAACACAATCTTGATTGGTCGCAATGAGATGGATGGTCCATTTTTAGCTGCTGAAGTTATTCATGATATTAATATACTTTTACATGAGTTCTCTGGTGTTAATTTGTATTGGATTAGTCGATTAGAGAATTCGGTAACTCATGATATAGCATGCTTTGCTAAGTTTTGTAATGTGAGGGATACGCTTTGGTCGTCTCCTCTGGATTGGTTGTAAATCAGTGCTGGCTGATTCCAACATCGTTATAAAGTTGCTTCTTTTTCTTAAAAAAAAAAAAATTATAACTAATGACTTGTAAGTTGTAGCCAAAAAGATAAGAAGAAATGGAATAAAAAAGGGCGGTTCAAATCCTTCTATTATGGTTTCTTTCCCCGAGAAATTATTCAGTGCAGCTACTGTACCACGTAGTATTGTGCAGCCAGACATAATAATAGAGGTAAAGTAGTAATTTTAGGGGAAGAGAGATAATTTCTACTGGAGTGCTAGTACTTGCTGTACTAAAAACAATGATACAACAGCTATACTTGTTGGTACTTGCTGTACTAAAAACAATGATACAGCAGCTGTACCCAATAATTTTTCTCTTTCCCCATTCCTCGAGTTCAATTCATTTTTTTTATTTTGGGTACATGGTAATAATACGTAGTATATTACTTCAAAATCTCATTTTCACTTTCAATTTATCAGTGTCTCTATGATGATTAGTTAGGCACATTTACCTCGTATACCATGATTTCTAGTATATTTGCCATTTGAATTAGAATGAATTTCTTTGAATGCCAGCTCTATTTTGTTTAGACTGAAATTTTTAAAAAAATCTGATGTAGATCTCATGAATCCACCCATATAATATCTTTGTTCCCTGTTCCTGTCCAAATTTGATTCACCGATACAAATTCACCATTAATTTTGCGCTTAATTTTTTTTTTTCATATAGTCTCATTATTTTCTTCCATTACCAACTCGTATTTTGTTTAAACTGATATCTAAATGAAATCTGTTAACCAAAACATAAAAATAAAAAAATTCCTGAAATCTTTACCTTTGATGATGCACGCATTTCATGAATCCATTTCAGCCTTGAACACACTTCATTTGGTGGTACATATATACTGTCCAAATTTACTTCACCAATGAATCATCCACTTTTGACTTCGGATCCTTGCCTATTAATTATATACTGTGATATGATCCTTATCTGAAGTAAAAGAACAAAATGAAAAGCCAAAAAGAGATTACTTACTGAACTAAAAATATCTCACCATGCAATACGTTTTTTTCTTCGCGGAGAGAGTTTTTTATTCAAGTGAAGGTATAAAAAGCAAAATACTAAAAAAGATTGAATAGGCGAGACACGAGATACAACATGTTAGCCCAAATATTGCCTGGTTTCTTGATACCCAATTGATGGATGGACCGTAAGAGCTTACATCTTGGCAGTTGCGAGCCCTAGCCTCCGCCCAATCATTTTAATTAAGAGGTCCAAGTCAATCAACCTTATGTCGAAAGTTTCTGTTTATCTTTTAATTGAGAGGGAGAAAAAAAAAAGTTTGCAAGGGGAATGAATTCATCGGTTTCAAAATAAAAATAATATTTCTCGAATTAAAATAAAATTCACATTTTGAAACGGAGTAATAGATTAACTAGATGGTACCCGCACGATGTGCGGGATAGATAAATTATGTATAAAATTAAACATAATAAAAATCAAAGAAATATTTTATATTTTAGTAAATTGATATATAATATAAAAACACTAAGTTAAATAATGTTACATTAGAAGTATTTTTATGCACTAATTATTTACAGAAGAAAATAAATAGATCTATATATTGATCTACGTGTTAAATATATTTTATTTTCGTGAATCATCAACATATATTTCACCATGTTGTCCCTAAGAAAACATCAAATATTGAAATCATTAATTAAGATTGGCAAAGAAACTCACCGTGATGTGCATTCGAAAATCCTTGCTACAGAAAATATTTGCCCATAATTTCTAAAAGTTAGAGGCAAAAAACTTTTGACACAAAAAAATAATGATTATTAAAAAAACATAAATCCTAAAAAAAAAAAAGAGAGAAGAAAAAGAAGAAAAGATTCCGGTATAAATTGGGATTGCAACCTAGTTGAGTTTTATAAGCACACTTTATATATACATAATAATTTTATTCACATGATTAATGCGATTGGAGTGATTATAGGCATATGTTTATATTTGATTTTTTTAAAATAAAGTGAATAGATATTCGTGTATGCAATTATGACAGATGATATATCTCTAAAAAATATTATCTATAATTTTTTTAATTATTTCAAATTTCAAAATAATATTAATATTGTTTAATGATCAACCAATATGTAATGGTATTATTCAATCCAGTGGGAAAATATTTTCAAATCAATAAGTTTTAATGTTGAATTAAAGAATCATTAATGATTTTGTATTTATTATTTTTGAATTTTAAAAAAACATTAATACTGTTTAATGATCAAACCAATATTAATGGCATTTTCAAGCCAATCAGAAAATTTTTTCAAATCAATTAGCTTTAATGTTGAATTAAAGAATCATTGATGATTTTGTATTTATTATTTTCGAATTTTAAATAATCATTAATATTGTTTAATGATTAAATCAAGATGTAATATTATTATTCAAGCCAATCGGGTAATCTTTTTCAAATCAATCTTATTTAATGTTGAGATTTTAAAAATTTTCCGTTTTTTTTTTCATTTTAGGGAATGTAAAATAGAAAGTTTACACACAATTAATTGATATACTTTAATTAAGAATGGATAACAATTTATTAACTGGAAATTTAAAGGACTGTTAGTGTAATTATTGTAAATATTTTTTGTAACAACCTGTAAGGAAATGACACATAGGATTTTGTCCTATATGTCAACGGGGGGAGAAGTTTGATTTCCTCTCTCTGGTTTCTCTCTTAGTATAATACTATAGATTTCTTATAAATTCAATGAAAGGTGTCATCTATAAGTATATATATATATATATATATAAGTATATATATACTTATATACTTATATGCTTAACTAAAGCAGCATACAAGTTGCTGATGTGTCAGCTCCACAATAAAAAATTTTCTCGCCAAAAGCCATTTTCAGAACCAAATCATTTGTAGCATGTGGCACTCTAACTATTCAGAAAAGATTGAATAAAATATATATATATAAAGAATTATTATTTACTTACACGTACAAAATTCCACGTTATTGTGATATGTGTTATAATATTATATTATATATATTATTAATCTAAAATATAATTTACACTTATAATTTTTTTATTTAATAATTTTAAGACATAGGCGACCCCATGCATTGACTTGGGACAAGCATCTAGCTGTAGTTATGAAATCATTCTAAACTAAAATGTAAAGATGTCAGTGACAAGAGTATTAAATAACAGTCTAAGGTGCTTTGTTTTTAGAGAGTAGATCGGATTCGATTCTGATCAAGAAGTATGTAAAAAGGGTTATCAGTGGAGTGTATTAAAAATAAAATTAAAAAATCGTTTGAACCAATATGCAATTGTCACTCAAGAATCCTTTTTCATATCTTACACACCCAATTTTTGAAATAATTTCCCCGACGAATCAGACTTTAGTTGAATATATCTCTCTTTAGAGATGCAAAATTTCAACGAGAAAAAGAAAAAAAAAAAGAATCTTATCGATGAAGAAAATTGATCTGAACTACTACAAAATCAACTTAGGTTAATTTCTCAATCATTCCACAACAATAGTTCTCTTCCTGAAATACTTTTATTTCAGAAAAAAAATGTATTACTGGATATTGAGATTTGAGAATACTATTACTTTATCGAGAACTTGAGACTAGCTTCCTGCATCATGACAAAATGCTGAACTCATCATTAAATTTGCTTTATTTGAAAAAGGTTAAAAAGATTTACCGCTGTACCAAAAGAACTACTGTCTCTACACTGTGTGTCCAGCAATCACACTTCACACACCACACGTGTGTCCAGCAAACAGTCACACAGTGACCAGAGAGAGGACAGCACACGTGTGATGGAAATATCTACACCGTCCCAAGAATCTCCAACCGGATTTTCTAAGTTGATTCCAACCCGAGTTAATTTACCACAACCCAACAACCTTAACCGCAGTTAAAGGCATCAAACTTCTTACGTTAAACGACAAGTGGATGAATTGATGATAATATACAATACAAGGAGAAAATTAAGGTTTAATTAAAACATAATCCTCTCCTTCAATATACGAGTCGCTAATTCAGCTGAATAAATGAAAAAAAATCATCAGCTTGTTTCAGACGCTGACCTGACTGCCCGAAGAGATTACGGTCAGCTTCCTGAGTAACTCACCTCACACAATCCTCCCTCCAAACACACTGTGATCAATGGCCTCCTGTTTCTCTCTCTCACACACTCACACACTTACTCACCGCTTCTCGACTTAACCCTCTGACGATCGATTATAATATTGTCTCCTTCTTCTTCTTCTGAATCATCATATCCTCTACTCGTATAATCTATCCTCCATTTTTTCTCTATTACTTCATCGGACGGTCCAGGATGAACGCTGCCCAATCCCACCTTTTCTTCAAGGTTTTAGCTCTCTAAAACCTCAGATCTGCTCCATCAAATCTCAGATCTACGCTTTCCGGTAAGCTTTTCATCAAATTTTCTCTCAAATTTCTGGAATTTCGTATCTTTTAAATTCAATTCAGTATCTCAATTTTGCTGTCGGTGGAGGATGTGTAGTAAGCTTTAGATCTAACGGCGGTTGTGTCAATTGCTTGCAGGTTGTATTTTTCCCGATTAAATTCTCGTAAAAATATAAGCTTTAGTTTTGTTCGGAAATGGAAGCTCTCGCAACCATTCCGCCTGCGGCGGCGGCGGTGCTGATAACGCGCGCGAGGGAGATAATAGCGGCGGCGGTGGTTTCCGCTTTGGTCAACACCTCCCTCGTTATTCTCACTCAGGTAACAGGAAAAACATCCTAGTACTGCTACTACTGTTCTGTACTGTCTCTTTTGGCCTATCATGCCGCGTTGACTTTTTAAAAATGTTTTTTTTTCCTGTTAACATTAATCTTTATTTTCTCTTAATTAGTGTGTTTTTACTTTTAAAAATTTAACAAAATTCCTTCTTTTTTCAACTTTGGACATCTAACAAAATTTAAAATATTGGTAGAGATGGAAATTTAAATAGATGTTTGACTTTCATACCAAAAAAAAACAAAAATTCCTTCCTTTTTTTTTTCCGTATCCTTATAGTTTTCTGTATTATTTTTGGGCATGAATAATATTTTTGACGTAGTGCTTATTTATTTAATTTTTCTTCCGAGAGTTTTCAATGGTTATGCTATGGTAAATACTTGAAATGGGTCGTTCCTGTTAATATTGATATTTGTTATTATAACTTTTGGTGCTTTCTGTTCCAGATCTGTGGATTTGTGGGGGAAAGCTGTAATTTTTTGAGCCAAAATTATTATTTAGATGTTTTATTTTATTCTTTCTTTTTTTAAAAAAATGCTCAGATTTATTTTTATGACAAGGACAAAAGAAATTTCTTTCTCTTTTTTTCTTCTTTTTAAATTTTTTTTTAAAAAATATATTTTCGAGTGTAATTTCCTTGGGGTTGGTCACGAGTCAAATGTACCTGTGATGGAGGATTTGGAATATGCTATATGCCTTTTGCTAGTGGCTGCACAAGTTGTCAAATGTAAAAAGATTCCGATTCCACGTGTTCAGTGGATCGAATCTTGGACTCCACTGTAAATGAGTGGAAATTGGAAACTGGTTAAACCAATTTTTAAAACAATACTTCCTACGTCCTAGTTTAATATTCCATCTTGCTGATATGTACGTTGTTACAGTGATTTATATCCTACAATTGATAATTTGGTATCAGCAAATTTTTAGAAAATTTGTGTAAATTTTCACTGTTCTGCTAGATGAGCAAATAGTTGATTTTTGAGTTGAACTGTGCTTCCAGGAGTACCTAACTGAACTGATCAAGAAGGCCAATGTGAGAAAAAACGACCACTCTTACTGTCCTGGTGAGCCGGTTGATGCGGAGGGGGATGATAATGATGATGATGAAGACGATGGCGGAGATGAGGATGAAGGTGAGGAGGACTTGTCATCCGAGGACGGAGATGATGCCGGGAACAACCCTAGCAACAACAAGAGCAACCCTAAAAAGGGTCCTGGGGGAGGAGGATCGGGGCCGCCGGAGGAGAATGGCGACGAAGATGATAGTGATGGCGATGGTGGTGGTGATGGTGAAGACGACGATGACGAAGAGAATGGAGAGGATGACCAAGACGACGACGATGACGACGACGATGATGGCAATGGTGATGAGGGTGAGGAAGAAGTTGTTGAGGAGGACGAGCAAGATGAAGAAGAGGACGAGGAAGAAGAAGCGATACAACCCCCAAAGAAGAGGAAGAAGTAAACCAAAAAGAAACAGGCAAATGAATGATAATAGGTTGACCTCCTAGCCCCCTTTGGTTGAGCTTACTCTAGGAAGGGATACATCTATTGTATTCTCAGGCTTAATGTTTTTCTTGCATTATGACGATTTACTTCTGAGCTTGTAACCTTGTCGAAGATAATGCCATAGACAGCACATAAGAGTACCAACATATTTAGATAACAAATTTCTGCTAAGCATCATAATGATTTGCCATTTCCTAACAATTTCATATTGCTGCAAAGCTTGTAAGACCTAAAAAACAATAGTCCAAAAATGTTAAAACAGGGGCAGTGGTGCAAGTACCTTCCACTTTAGGATGGAAATGTGCAACTTTAGGATGTAAATGATGCACATTTCGTCTCAGAAACAGGACTCAATTTTGCTGTACAACTTGGTTTGGGATCCCGGAAAAACCTTTGCTACTTGGTTTGGATCCCAGACACAGAGTTCGTTTTGCGTTTTGCATACAACTTCAGAATTTTACAGTGTTAATATATGTGGCACACAATTAGGTTAAACAAGTGGTACACTGTATTGCAAGCAGAAATTGTGGATCTTTTGTCGTATAAGAGGCAGTAGAACCAGTAATAATAATAATTCAAAACACCAGCATCCGGCAATCAATATTCACAATTACATCGACACCAATATACTCTTTCAAGTGCTTAAAAACAATAAAAGATTACATTAAGATGTCTCAAGGAATATAAGCATAAATCAGGTAAGAAGAAACAATCATTTGGGAGAGTAAGGGCGTACTTCTAAGGAGTTAAGAAGTGATCTGTATTTACAGCTGTGTCCAAAAGTATCATAACCAAAAAATAAAACATATCAAAGGAGAAAAAAAAAAGAAAAGAAGAAGAGGTATTCTAAGGAGAGGTATTCTAAGGAGTTAAGAAGTGATCTGTTGCTTGACCATTATATATATGAAAGTAACCGTGCTTTAGTCACAAAAAAAAAAAGAAAAAAAAAAGAAAGAAGTGATCTGTATTTAGAGCTGTGTCCAAAAGTATCATAATTAAAAAATAAAACATATCAATGAGAAAAAAAAATGGTAAGAATCTGTAAAGCTTTAAAAAAAAAAAATCAAGAAAATTCAGGGAAAATTTGATCACTTTCTATTAACAATAGACCAGAAAGATGTGTGATACCTTTGACATGCAATGACATTACAACACCAAGTAAAACAACACCAAGTAAAATCACCTATGCTATGCAAAACAGATTTAGGAGCCAGAGGTTTTCGAAAATGCTGCAATTCAGAAGGGGGACAAAAAAATGACTTCAAGTGACATAATCGACTACTGCTCTATTCCATATCAAAAGCAGTGAATCAATATGGTAGTTTTCCAGAAATGAACTAAAGGAGCATACCGCAGTAATCTAAAATTTGAAATACAAATACCAAATTCAAAAGTACAGGAGTATGAAGCCGGAAAAGAATCAAAGTAACAAAAATTCCCCCTATCATAGGATTCCTTCAGTAAGAATTTTGCAAAAATGAAGAGAACACTTAAAATTGAAGGAAGAATTCTACAAAAACAGTCACAAACCAAACTACTGATGCTTAACAGATTAGCATGTTAAAACCGAAACTAGACATGAATATGAAGAAAGAAACAAGGATGACAGCAGAAAAAGGATCAAGATATATATGCAACCACATCAGACTAAATAAGATTATTTGTTAATGCATAAAAAAAAAAAAAAAAAAAAGAAAAACAAAAGGCAAAAAAAGGAGAGAGAAAATTTATGAAGGCGACCACGAGATTAACAAACTCAAAGTAAAAAAGGAAAGAAAAAGATTAAAAGTAATGGACAAAACAAATCTACTTAAAAGACAAAGGAATAAATAAGAATGTGTATGCTGATAAAACATGATTCTGAGAGATAAATCATACAGCCAATTGAGATGATTGAACAAAAGACTTAATAGTTACTTTCCATTTTTGTGGAACAAAAGACAACTGAAAATGTGCGCTCATCAAAACTCTTATGCAAAAAGTGTATTTTGAGAGATAAATGACACCGTAATATTACAAAATTTACTAGCCAAAAATCAAAAATAGGAAAATTTGAAAGGACAGAAACAAAGATGAAGATAAATCAACAAAGACAGTAAAAGGTAATCGAAAAGGAGGGAAAATGCTGAATAAAAGGTAATCAAAATACATAAAAAAGTTATAATAAAAAATAAAAAATAAAACAAAAGGAAAAGTAGTTGAATTTCTACAAAGATGTCCAAAAAAACTGAATTTAGAGGGGAAAATAGTAGCAATACCCAGCAGCTCAGCTCAGCCACTTTGATCAAATAGTTTTAAAAAATGGACATATTTAAAGCTTCATTTCAGCAAAACTTGGAACTCTTGCATTGCATGAAGCTTCTTCCTTGGCTGCAGTCGATTCTTTATCTGCAGCATGTAAACCAAATTTCCAAGCTATTAGAAAACATGGAAATTCCATAACCAATAGTAAACTGTATCGTTGTACTTACACTATCAGCATATAAATGGGCCAGCAAAATCAACAACTGTGTCAGACCATGGGTTTTAAATGACAGATGCTACAGACTGTTATTTGATTTTTAGCATTCTTTTGTTTAATTTATCACCTAATAATTACTTAACGAAACATGCAATTCAGTCTTCATTTCAAATATTGTTACAACAAGAGAATACCAAGCAAATAATCTTCCCAAAAATTTGTTAAACACACACAACAAAAGAACTTTGGAAACCTGTGTAAGTTCCGACAGTCTTCAGTGAACTATCAATAACATCCTAAGGACCATTTTTCCTTATAAAGTTATGCATCTGATGGTTTCATAAATGTAATAACAGCTGCAATTGCCTATTTTTTATCCGTCTCTACAGCAGCACTGCCCATTATCAACACTGTTTGTTACAACTTGAGAGCGCCAAGCAAATAATCTTTCCAAAATTTGTAAAACACACACAAGAAAACAAAGTTTGAAAACCCTGTGTAAGCTCCACTATTCTTCAGTGAACTATCAATAACATCCCAAGTGCCATTTTGTTTTCAATGTTATCCATCTAATTGTTTCATTGATGTAATATCAGCTGCAACTAACTATTTCTTTTTTGTCCCTACAGAAGCAATCCCCATTTTCAACTCTGAGTCGAAAATCAACACCTTTCTGACCAAATGTTGCTGCACTGGACTATCTGTCTGTAGATCAGGTCTGATGCTCAAAGATAGATATGGAACTGTTTATTTCTCAGCTATAAGTAAAACTCTTAGTTAAGCAAATAATTATAAAATCCCACAATGGGGCAACTTAAAAGTCACTAAGGTTCAATTATAAACATTGAATCATACTATTCATACAGAAACATCATATTCATTTGTACAACACCTACCCTTAGCATTCACCCATGAAATGAATACTCCCTCCAGTCCTAATTATAAAGCACAAACTAACACTAAATTCAGTTCAAATTTGTGCCGAATTTCTGAAAATTACATAGTTATTTAAAAACATGTGGCATTTATTTTTTAATAATATCAAAAGCTTTACAAACACCAACAACATAGTCTACACTAAAATGTTACTCCCATATCAGGCACTAAACTGCGATGAAAACAATTCACATAACGGAGTAATTCCTAAAAATTTAATTAATCATGGATCCCTATCTGAAGGACCTGTAAAAGACTACAGACATTGACATATGTCTCAAGTATAACCATCACAGCAAAAGCCAACTAGTTGCAACAAGTTCAAAAAACAGAAGTCTTTCAAATACGTACCATGCTGAGCTACACAATAAAGTTATACATTTCATCATCAGAAACCAGAGTTAATGGAACAAGGAGCTTAATTAAATGGAGCATTACCACTTACAGCAAGAAAAATTGATTACGAGCAAGGAAAGGAAACAAAGAAGTTCAAAAACAATTGACCATCACTACCACCAACAACAAAATATGGCACTCAAAATCAAACAAACAGGATATGTTTTAGAGTTGATCATACCTTTAATATGATGACCTAGCACCAGCCCCTGAAGAACCAAATCCTGCACCTGATGGCATTTGCCCTGCCTCTGCTTTAGGATATGCATACTGCAAACCTTGCAGCATTGGCATGCCTACAGAATTACCATAACTCCCCACCATCGAACCCATATTCTGGGTTCCTAAACTACTCAATCCATGACCTAAGAACCCTCCATATGCCCCATACCCTGATGCGATTCCCAAACCCGCCCCTCCCTGTCCCAAGCTACCTAAAGAACTCATATTAGCTAGACTTAAAGCAGCCACATTTGGATTAGCTAAGAAGCTACTATATAATGGATTCACACTAAACATCCCCGAGTTCAGATCAACCCCAGGATTCTGACCTACAAGAGGCATACTCTGAGCACCCAAGGCAGCATAAACTGGTGGCAAAGACTGCACTGCGGTAGTAATACTAGCAGCACCGCCAGTATTCTTTTTACCCTCAGTCGCCTTCTGGCAATGCAACTGCCTCCCTTCAAACACCTTATAGGGTTCCTCCAAGGCTTTCTTTGCTCCCTCTACACTCTTATACACAAACAAAGCATACCCTTTAAACTTTCCAGTTTGCACATCAAATCCCATTGGTCCACTCTCAAGCTCCCCGAATTTCGAAAAAAAGATCCTCAATTTATCAGCACTCACATCACTGCCCACATTATTCACATAAATTTTTCTCCCACTCAAGTTTCCAGTTCCTCCACTTATTCCAGTCGCATCCTGATGCTGCCCCGAATTCGAAGCAGCAGGCCCTAATGACGCCAACTGCCATACCACAACCCGATTATTAATCTCCGTTCTGGGCTGCTCCAATGCTTTCCGAGCAGATTTTCTGGCTTTAAAAGTAACAAAGCCATACCCTTTCGATTTTCCAGTAGCCCTATCAATAACAACATTGCTATTCTCAATTTCCCCAAATTTCTCAAAAACTGACACTAGGGTTTCATTTGTAGTCTCCCAGGAAAGGCCATGAACGAAAAGTTTCCTGTGGGAGATATCCTTATCCGCAACTTCACGGATTTTGGAGTAAATGGTAGAGCTGGAAATGGCAACATCGGTTGCTAAATCAATCAATTGGTCTTTCGAGCATGATTCTAGGATTTGTTGGATTCTTTCTAGCTCGTATTCGGAGGTTGAAGCCGAGGGAGAAGAGCTGTTGATTTTGACTTTGGCTTTGGATTTTGAATTAGGTGTTGGCTCTAACTTCTGGGTTGTTGATGTTTTCTTAGTGACTTCGGTGGGAGAAGAAGAATCGATTTTCTGGGAGATTTTTCGCTTCTTCGCTTTGGTACTCGCCATTACAACTTTGCCAAGCCGCCAAACACTGAGCAACAAGGACAAAGGAGGTTGTCCTTATATACAGGGTAAAATTCGATTTATCACGTTTACAAAAGAGCAGATTCCGTAAATTTTTAAAAGTTTTTTTTTCTTTTTTCTTATTAATTCGATCTAAGTAAGCTATTATTTATTTTTTGGTGAGGCAAAACTTCTTTGGTTAGTATGATTGAGAAGAAAAGTTTCCAAATTTTTGAGGTATTTCGTAGGGATTAATTGCCATAGGCGTTCGTTTTAATATTATTATTATGGTATTCGTGCGTTACACGCGATTATTTAGATACTATTGTAAGAAACATTTTGACGATTTTTACAATGCACAAAATGTTTAGATACGAAAAAGTAGAATCGATGATGTGATGGAGTAGCACATTACAAAGTTATCTCTAACGTATTGGGTAAATTGAATTGGATTTGGTCTAAATCCTTTTCTTGAGAAACTAGTATGAGAGATTTTCCTCCATAAAACGAATCTAATTTTATCGGAGCAATTTTTCATTTATTCTAACAACCAACTTGATCTAATCAATGACATGATAGCATCACCTAATCACAGACCTTACACTTGCATGTTTCCTTGCACAATATACACGAACCTAAAATGCCAAACTTCCCCGACTAAGGAAATAGCTCCGCAATTCCTTTGAATTTGTTCAAACTTTCACCGACTAAGGAAATAACACCGCCATTCCTTTTAATTTGTTGCCAGAATTCAAGATAGCGATTATTCGTGAGCAAAAAAATTTTATTTTTGAAATATAAAGACAATTTACTTTCTCATATTGATATACCTTCGAAATGTTTACAAAATTAGAAAATAAATGCAACACTTGAGTTGAAGAGTTAAATTGCACATAATTTAAAAAAAAAAAAACCAAAAAACAGGATAATATGTAGTTGATTACATTTTGAACATGGACCTGAAATGTCTTTATCTTTTGAGAAATCATAAAATAATCATACCATGTAAGAAAAAAAAAACATATTAATACCGTTAGATCAATTTACTTTTCTTTTGAAATAAATCATCAATTAATATATTTTGCCTCAATAAATTTTTTCACATATATGAGAAAACTTCTATTCTATATGCAAAGATTGTATTAAATTGCTATCTACATTTTTTAGTAAATCCTACGATTGAAGAAACTAATACATATTTTCAACTATACTCCTGATTCATTTTTCGGCTTGTCCAAATTCTTTGTTATGGGAACAATATCCGAGAATTTCGAACATTTGATTCTTGCCAAACTAAGGTACAATCTTTAAGAAACGTAAATTAAATTTCTTTTAATTTGTTCAATTTTTTTTTTTGTTAAAAGGTGAATTATATTGATTAGACTGAACAAAATATACAACCATTTACATAATTTTGTCTTTACTCTTTCTGTCTACCAGCTACCTATTTGCTATACTTATCTCAATTCCAAGTTTTTTCAAATAGTTTAAGTCAGCTGCCTTAAGCTTCTTACAAGTCTACTGCACTTTCCAACTAAGTTCACGTTTGATATCTTTACTTCTGTCTTCTGTTGATCTATTTTTCTGAGTAAATCTGCGCGCATTCCTTTCCAGCCGTACATTATACACACAAGCCACAATTACTGCACTCAACATCTTCTGTTTCAACTGCTGATACTTGTAACCATTCCATATTGTGCTGATCAACTGCTTCAATTGCTTTTGCCTTAGTCTAATTTCCATCCATTCCAGCAGATCATTCAACAACCGTTACGCATAAGTACAATTAAAAAACAGATGTGTACCTGATTCTTCTGTATCCTCCTCATACAACAAGCAATTTCTATCATCCACTCTGATATTCATCTTTAGTAATCTGTCTGCAGTTAATAATTTATTTCTGCATGCTAACCAGCCTATAAAACTGTGTTTAGGGACAGAGGTTCTATTCCAAATTACCTCAGCTGCTTTGAATCTTTCCCCCCTGGTCCCTCCATTGATTATAGCCATCTTTAATAGTATACTCTTTTACTCCAGAGCTCCAGAAACCAGCATCTATACCTTCCTTTAATAGTATACTCTTTATGTTATTTTTTATTTTTCGTGCCAACTCCTTATCTCAAAATCTGCAAAGAAACGTAAATCTCCATCAAAGAGTAAAATTAATTTTTTTAAAAAAATTATAATTCTCACATCAGAACATTTTGAAAATTTTAATAGTTGTATTTTTATTGGGAAGGCAGGATAATCTTTGGTGGAAAGAACTCTAGCCTATAATTTTCGAACATTTTTCTCTTTAGCAACTTACAGTGTATTGATGAAGATAAAAGCTTATTATACGAATTGTATTCAAAATTTTGGGCAATATTGATCTCTTCTTAGATGATTACGAATGGATGATGAAAAAAATAATGATGCGTATTGATTAAAATTTGAAAACACAAGAGATCAGGTTGGATTGAAAATAGAATATTTTCACAGATACAATATGACATTGATCAATAAGAAATTAAATTTACGAAATAAAAGTTATGTTTTGGCCCTTTTGGACCATCAAGCACACATGTGAATTTAAATCCAGCAAAAATATTAACACAGAGATGAATCCTATGTCATCGATGATGATGTATAGATTTTCCCTTCATAACAGGATTCCAAATTCTAAGACCTGCATAGTTAAAACCTAATGCTTCTCCCTTAAAAAAAAAAAAAAAAAAACTAATCCTAATGATATTTCTGTCTACGTCAACGTATAACATCATACTTTTTTATTTTTGTTCCAGAACCCAAAAAAAAATCAATAAATTTATATTTAATTAAAAAAAAAAACAAAAATCTTACATGAAAGCCGATAAAGATAAGAATGGAATGCGTATCTTCGGGGATTTGTTTGATTAATCATTTGATTACCTCCAGGAATCAAAACCAATATTAAATTGTAAGAATTTTTTCCTGATGTATATATATATATATATATATATATATATGATTAGACATAAATTTCTATTTTGCTTAACAAATTTGAGAGCCTCAACAGGAACATAGTGATATTTTTTCATAAACATGACGTCTACGGTGTTCTCAATGCTTTGGACACCGTTTTTCATCGGAAAATGATTTCCTACAAAAAGCAAAACAACAACCACCCAAAAATTAGGGAAAATGATTCAAACGTAATGAACAGATTAGACTAAGATGAGAGATCCGAACGGATTTGAAGAAGATGAACAGTGGCCGATCTGAATTGAACTCAAACGGCAGGAGGAGGACTTCAGCAATAATCCCAATAGCAACAACAGCAGGAATGCTCGGTGATGATGAGGAAACAACTGATTGTACTGAAATCGGGCAATCTGGAATGGGATGGGTAGCGCGACGAAGCGAAGATGATGAATGGCTACAGCGGCAACAATACAGAGAGTTGGGCGGCGTTTTATTTGATGAAGACGACAAATCTAACCGATATACGTTTGTTTTATGAAGTTTATCATGTTGATTTAAATTTGAAAGTGAGTTGTTTATTTTATGTGTTTATTTGATGGACTAAATTAATTAAAGCTAATTTTAATGGATGATGGTTTTACCTATATTTACTTTTATAATTTAATGAACGACTAATTAAAAAATGATATGTGTCTACTAAATCAATTGGAAATCTATTTAATTACACTTGTCAATTCATCTTCTTTCTTTTAATATATACTAGTATTTATCGCGCACGTTGTGCGGGTTGTTCAAGATATCTATGAGTTTAATGATCTAACGATTATATGACATTTATGACAGAGTGATATACATTATAAATAATATTAATGATATAAATTAAAATTGTGTAACTTTTAATGTCAATATGTTTTGTTGTTTTAAGTACATTTGGAGTAATTTACAATATTTGAAATCATATAATTTAACTTATGATCCTTCTTTTTCACTTTGTTGATTTATAGCTTTATATGATTAAAAAATATTCTCTTAATTTTTTATAATGATCTTTATAAATATTTTGACCCGTGTCATATATATATATATATACATACATATATATTAAATTCTCCCTATAACAAAAGTTTCTCATGTTATATTTCCGTAAAGTTATCTATTTTTCATCTCTCTATATACCTTTTGCAACCGTTTTTTGAAAGTATGTTTGTATATTTTTCCTATAATATAATTTTCACTTTTTTTTTTGGTTATATAGTCTTCGTTTTTTTTTTAAAAAATTTGATTACCTTTCTTTAAAGCTTAATTTCTTAATAATTTTGAAACAATCATCTCACTTTTCACTATTCTTTATCTTTAAAGCTTAATTATTTTTTTTCTTAATCTCTACGCAATTCTTTCCTCTATATAATTGTTTCAAATTTCTTAATATATTTTTCTTCTACTGTTTTTCTTTCACAAAGACATTTATTCTTATTCTCATTTTAAAAAACTTTCTTCTTATTGATTTCTATGTTTTGTTTTATTATCATAACGTCAACTTTTTCTTCATTATATCATATGGAAAAATGTAATGAATATATTTTATTAATTACTATATTAATTCATTATTAATCATATATTATATTATTATTTTATAATATTAATATAATATATATTATATTATTAAAATTTTGGCCAATTAATATATAAATATATTCTCATTCTTATTCTTAATATTTTTATTAATAAGTACATTTGGAGTAATTTACAATATTTGAAATCATATAATTTAACTTATGATCCTTCTTTTTCACTTTGTTGATTTATAGCTTTATATGATTAAAAAATATTCTCTTAATTTTTCATAATGATCTTTATAAATATTTCGACCCATGTCATATATATATATGTAGATATATTAAATTCTCCCTTTAACTAAAGTTTCTCATGTTATATTTCCACAAAGTTATCTATTTTTCATCTCTCTCTATACCTTTTGCATCCGTTTTTTGAAAGTATGTTTGTATATTTTTCCTATAATATAATTTTCACTTTTTTTTTTGGTTATATAGTCTTCGTTT